TAGGGTGACCAGCAGGCAAGTGTGTTTGTGGGCCAATAGGGTGACCAGCAGGCAGGTGTGTTTGTGGGCCAATAGGGTGACCAGCAGGCAGGTGTGTTTGTGGGCCAATAGGGTGACCAGCAGGCAGGTGTGTTTGTGGGCCAATAGGGTGACCAGCAGCCGGAATGAAACGCGGTTATCGGCTTGCGAGAGGCGTGGTGTTGGCAACAGATCATTCTGTTTCCAAAAACAGGGTCCGGACCCTACATTCAGTTTTCAAAAAGCCACTCTGTGATATGTGCTCACGTGTGGCCTTCCTGCGACGTGGGCAACGATACAAATGTGACTTTTACGTCATAGCGTGTAAGAACTTGTTGTTTGCTTATGCAGTTAAACCGGTCCCTGCGATAGATGGGGTATTGCATGTAAGGCGTTGCTCCACGCAATCAGTGGGTTAGAAATCAGGTTTGCCCCTGCCAACTTTTTTGTGAAATATTTCCAAAACAGCCTCGTTGGGCTTTGGGCCGTGCACAACATGTTATTTGAGATGACTAGCCGTAACCAGCTGTATGTATGAACTTTTTTCGCACCGTACGTAGCCAACCGTGCTAATCGGAGGTGCGGGGGAAGGACAACAAACTAAACACAAAAAGCAGTTCTAAGGAATCAAATTTTCAATCTCTTGTCATCAGAGTGCATCTATGTGGGCCTCCCACGACAAGTGGGGGACCCACACCAACCATTTCAGGATCACCAGACGGTGCATAGCTTTTACTACATTACATTTGGTGGAGAAACAGTTGTAACTAAAATGGACACAGAGAAAAGAAGGCAAAAGCAGCAGAGGAAGCCAGCTTAAGAGATTAGCAGTGAATTTGGAGGCCACTCCTGGACAAAAACAACCAGGAAAAGGATGGAAGAACACCAGGGGTGGCCTATGTCCAGAAGTGGGAATGTACAGGCTGATAACAGAATTTTTGAAGTCTATTGGAATTTTTTTATATAAAATCAATATTATCTGTAATTAAATCTTGCCAAAGCTTTCGTGACTGCAGGAATTCATTTCAAACCTTTATAAACAGTTTGCCTTTAGAAGCTAACCCCCTTTTCCTGATGACGACCGCTTGTGTTGCGATCGAAACGTCGTAATTTTTTATTTATTTTCTTTGAACCTATCTATGTGACTTTACAAAAAGACCCAAATAATTATCTGTAATTAATGCATAATATTTTAATTTTTTTACCGACTTTCTTTTTTCCATGGTAACTAAATAATCCCTTACTCCCTATTGCATCGCAACGACATTCGTGTTATTTTACTCTGCTCATAAAACTAAATTTCGCATCTTGCATCCCAAACGTTAAATTATCCAGTCACAATAAGGATAAATTGGTTACAGATTACACCTGTAGTTAAATATTACATTTTGGGGGGATGGGAGGAAGGGGGAATGGTGAAACTTTGCAGCCTTGCCCTCAACACAGAGCGAGCGAATACACACCGTGGTTAAGATGCGGACGCTGCATTAACCAACTGAATTTGCATTGCGACTTTTACCAAGTCGTTAAAAGTTGGCGATGAAAGGGTCCGGCATGTACTGTGGACAAATATCACCATCAGCGATGCGGTCGGTCACAAATGTTAATAATAAAGCCTGCCACCTGTGCAGTCATTTGGGAAAGACAGAGGATGCCTAACGAGTTCGAGTTTTAGCAGGATGTTGTGTGTGGCGATTCAGTAAACAAAGCCAATTAACAAAGTGGGGAGAAGAGAGGAGAGAGGCACGAGTTTGCCGACAAGATGGGTGGAATAACATCACGTGAGAGACGAGAGCAGAACGCTGACCATCGCAAGTCCACCATCTGACATCAACCTCGCCTACCACCAGCCTCGCCTACCAAAACCATAAAACGTCCTCTCTACACCATGTGCAGGACTGTAAAACCACCTCAATGCTCACCTCACCAATGTGTTTTTATGTTCGTGCAGTTCGTTTGAGTTCTTGCGAAACGCAGTTTTTACTCTATTTGACCATAATTTATGGCTGTTGTATTAATTATTGCTCCCGATATATGTTTGCTTCACTGCTGTACACACAGTACTTTAATTTGTATTCCATTTGTCGTTTTGGTGACATCCCCCCCCCAGCCACTCATGTAAATTAGGCTGCGTCTCCTGGTTTCGCGATTTCTTTATCTGGTTAAATATATTATATATATTCAACTAGAAACTTGATAGGGGAGGCCGAGCTATGCCGAGCCAGGGGGCATGAGAGGTGCAAGCCACGACCAACAACGTCTGCAACAAAATGGATTCTCACCTGAATACACCAGGGGTTTTACAGTATTGTAATGAAATACACAATTTCACACTAAATACATAGTGACCGGCTAAAACAATGCACGGAAATCACTTAACACACGCGTTCACGTCGCACGTAGAAATACCTGGACACAGCTTCGCTATACAATACACAACGCGAAATCGTACATCGTTCCAGACGCGAGACAAATGAGCGTGGCGAAATATGATTGAACCTACCACCACCCCCGCCCCCCTATGAAATCAACAGTGTGGAGGAGGGATACATCTAGCAGTGGATTGACAAAAGGCTGTAAAAAATCATACCATATATGTAAGGAACTATCGCACGACACGTGACAGTGTTGAGTTCAAATGTGAGCTACAAACATGTAGAGCGCACGCCCTGAGATCCAACGTTTTGTGGAGGCAAGGGTTGATGGATCACGCTAGCATGTGCTGTGAGGTGGCCAAGAGGTGAGCACAAGGCAAGTGTGTTGGGGAACCCATCTGTGCAGACCTCCGAGCGTTCTCCTCTCGTACGCCAGGGGTTTTCTCTGTGTATGCCACCACGTGGAAAAATTGTCTTTCAAAAGTAATTTGGTCAAAACAATCTCAACGTGGGATGCTCCTGAAAAAAACCCAGTGGGAATTCCCCAGCCAGTTTAATTAAATCGCCATCATTTCCCTCCTTTCAATTGCAGATGACTCAACCTAAGACAGCATCACTTCTCGTTTTTCACTACGAGGGTCGGGTCGTTCCTTCTAGACCTGCTGTTAAACTACTGTTATTTTATCAGGTTAATAGCACTGAGTTATATAGCTCTATTTGAGAAGCAACCTGGCCACAAATCACGGCTCAACAAAGTGGCTGAACACGTATCACTGGACATCTGCGAAAAAAGAGCTTTATAGCTCATCGGATTCTTCCAGTTTAAATATGATTTTGATTCTGTATAGCAGCCATATACTCCTAACGTATGTTGATTCTAAATTTAGGGATAAACTGAAGGACCTGGAGAAAAATCCACGCAACCACAGGGAGAACACGCAAATTCCAAAAATACAGCCGTCAGGGTCGGGATTGAACCCACGGCTTCCTGTATACCAGCCGAGGTAGTCAACATCTCAACGTCTCGAAGTCTAGCAGTGGCTGGTGCCTGCTCTCACCACAGTAACGTAGAATTTCCTTCACTGGCTCTGGGGCTGCATTCATTACGGGCTCGCTATGACCTTAGAGCTCAGACCAAACGTGTTTTCTTCCTCGGCCGAGGTAACACAGAAACGTCACGTAACGGTAATTGATTTGTTCTGCAGGCCACAGAGTAACATATATTTTACACGACGCCTTTACAGACACATGGCGGGATGATGGGGGGGGGGTAATCCTGATAAGCTGGCCAATCTTCACCTAAAGCAATACGCACTGAGTATAATCAAACAACGGTATTGACCAGCACGGGCAAGCGGAGGCCTTCATCCAGCATTGGATTACATAGATACAACCCATCTGATGAGTACAATAGCTTGTAAATTATAATCTCGGCGTGCCCGGCCCCCGCCAGTTTTACCCAAATTGTGATATTAGCGTTCTGTCGTGAGATTAAGGAATCCATTCGGATCTCACGCAGATACAACAGAACTACATCTGAGATCCCGCCTTCAAGTGGCATCCTGGGCACACACAGTCAAAGGCAGCATGTGCTAAATATCGGAAAGCTGCAATTTGGACAAATTAAGTGGAGAACCAAATGTATGGTGACGGGGTGTTTTTGCGTGCGCAGTCAACGGTGACCGTCGCCGGCATGACATCAACATCAACTGGCTCCAATTGAGAAATTCGGTTTTAACCGTAGGGCACTGCCTGGACTCGAACCCAGGCTCTCAGCGGTGCCGGCCCAGCTCTTTGCTGACCCGACCACATGTAAACCCTGCTGGGCGAGGGCTTATTAGACCATACATCAGTGCGCTGGTCAGTGTGGGATGAAGGCCGGAAACAACAGACATGTGTAATAATGCTATATGGTTGCCCATCCACACAATGATATCCCGACTGAAATTTTGCTTAGCTTCCCATTTAAGATGAGACTGGCCGCATTCCGGATGCTCTTATCACAGGCCTCACTGGAGTTTACTACATACATCCTATGTACCGTACATAGTCCATGTACTCAGCAGAAAACGCGAGGAACGCAATGATGACAGAGCGCTAGACAAATACTCAGATCGTGTTTACAGCCCTGAGCCTAGTGGACGAGATAGAAGTCCACAATCCTCTCACCGAGCCAGACCGCCGCTGTCTTAATGCCCACTAAGTGTAAATCACCCGGGGTACTCATTGTATCCATTCCGCCGGAGGGGTGCCGAGTGGAGGCCACCCGCCCACCACCTCCACCTCCTCCCGACTCGGGATTGAGCATCGCACGGCGTGGACCGATCGCAAGCACTCGTCCTGGGGGGACAAGCCAGAACAATGGAAGACCTCGCCCCCCCGCTCGACCGCCGGGTGTTCTAAGATTCCTCCCCGACGTCTCGTTGCACTCGAGGAGCTAAACGGCGACGTCTCGAGCGAGAAGGCCAATCGAACCGAGGACACTCCATGAGCACCGTAGAAGAAGAAAAAAAACCAGCACCGCCCATTGTTCCCACCAGCCACACGTTTTGCCAAATGTCTCCCTCCTCCTCCTTCTCCTCCCCATGTTTACCCCTCCCCCCTTACCTTTTCCGAAGGCATCGTCGCTGCGACGAGGTGTGGAAGGAGGTTGTCGCGTCCGTGGGTTCAGCCGCAGTAGTAAAGAGACGGAGGGCTCCGCCGCTTGCCGCCGACTCTCGAGTCCCGAGTGACGCACGGGTTCGCCGTGCCGCGCAGGTGAGGGCGACCTGTGACGTCACGCAGAGTGACGTCACGCAGGCAGCGGACGTTGCGGGCGATGGGGAGGGGTGCTGAATGTGGATAAAAAACAAACACGGGGCACGGAGCGTCATCCACCCCGCATCATCATCACCACCACCACCACTCACCTACCACACACACAATGTTTATAGACGCCACCGTCGTTTAGCCCAGGTGCAAGCGAGATGAGGTCATGCGCCATTCTCGTGACCGCGTGCGTGCGTCCGTTCAAGATGCGATGTTCTTTTATAAAGTGCTTCAGAGACAACATGTTTGACATGACAGTAATGGTTATACTGGTAGGAACGAAGTTGTAAACTGAGTGTACCAGCCTGCAATAGATTCATGTGTCCGTCCGTCCGTCCCCTTTCAATACTTTAACGAAGTGAAAAATTCCAATGTTCCTACCAGCCCACCCTGTCAGGGACCTGTTTTTTTTGTTATTTTCTTTGAACCTATCTACGTGACGTTACCGAAAGACCCAAGAACATGACAGGAATAGTGTGTTTAAATACTTAAAAACAACGAATAGCAACGAACATTTACTTTGTACGATTTTATTACGTTAAGTAAAGTTTCGCATCAATTGTGAAATAAGTATAGGCGTTACCCTTTCTGTTGTATTGTTTTATAATTTTATTGTTTCCCTTCTACGTGACTTTACCGAAAGAACCAAGAATATGAATCCCTGCAGTCACGAAAGCTTTAAATAAAAAAAATAACACGGGTGTTATAAGACGTTCAAACACCAAATAGACACCTATTGCAAGGCATCAAGTCTGCATTAACCACATGCTTATGGCAATTTGTAGAAACAGAATGCGTATTATTTGGTGTTTGAACATCTTAACGCCTCTTGTGTTATCAGAATGGGTAAAGCATATTCTTCTTATTTCACCATTTCGATACTGGCGAAAGAATGGTCCCATAGCATACCTACTATGATCACCCAGGAATGTCTGTCCTTAACGCTCGTGACGTCACTTCACATCGACCAGCCCTCATTAATATTCATGAGCAGGTGACGTCCTCCAAATGGCAACCCCCCCTATTATTATTACCTACTATAATGAGCCAAGAATGTCTGTGCAACGCTCGTGACGTCACTCCATGTCGACCAGCCCCCCTCATTAATAATCATGAACAGATTACGTCCTCCACACGGACCCCTCCTCATTAATAATCATGAGCAGGTGACGTCACTCCACATCGACCAGCTCCCCTCATTAATAATCATGAGCAGGTTCCTCCAAATAAACACCCCCCCCCATTCATAATAATTAGCGGGTGACGTCACTCCACATGGGGGGGGGGCGAGGCGCCTCCTCCCCCCTCCTCGGCGTCAACTCACAACCCTCACTACAAAGGCAGAACCCTCACGTCACGCGATCTCCGTAACGCTGTTGAGACATCAAAGTAAAAAGGACGTCACGATGAACAAGGGATTATAACCTTTAAATGATATAAGCCTGTGTCACCGCGCCCTTACAAATTGCACACGAATTGATGCAATTAATTTCACGTCGCGGTCTGCTTTTCTACTTGCAAGTTTCAGATTTACTGCAATACACCCGTCCTTGGACGGGCAAAAGGCTAGTTAATGATATTTTACTCAAGTTTGTATCGTAGTTTGGGCAGGGCACAGCTAAGGGTTGATGGCCGATGCTAGTCAGGCTGGTGACGGAATGGCAGCCAAAGGTGTGAACACGGAGAGGAGATCAACCAACGTGGACACGGAGCGATTGTAATTCGTTCATGTGCGGGGATGTGTGGCACGGATTGTGGGTATCACAGGCAGGACTGGCGATGCCCTTGCATAGATCATGGCTGATGATATTTCATAACATGTTAATAAATTCCGTGAATAATCGTAATCTTTGAATAGACAACGTTGTGGAATCTCGGGCGCGGTACGTTGCTCAACAGAAATTACGACCCCAACTAAATGTACAACCGAAGAGGGAGTGTCTTGTGGGCTAAACAACCCATTTTTATTGATGTAGTGCTTGTTTACCCAGAAACACCTCACATTGGTATATGTTTGTAAAAATCAAGTTAGTCATATTCAGACGACGCAGTCACGTTACGAATCAAAGTTCAAGTCTTGACTAAGAATGGGGATTTTGTTTCCAGGGCTATGAAACATTCGACAATAAACTAAACGCACAATTTGCATGTAGCAGTGGTTTATGCAAACCAGTGGTACACATATATACACGAACAGCAGTGGTCTACGCAAACATTGCTTGTCATGTACCCCCTTACCAGCCTTGTCAACTGTCCATGTACCCCTACCAATATCAGAATTTTGTTATATGGTATTCATTACTTTACAATTAATTACTTTACAATTACTGTACTATATTTGCATTATTTACATGCACGTAATTAATACCTACTCATAATAAATTTAGTTAACATTTATTAACTTAATGTGGCTCCGTGGTAGGGAGAGTTCTAATCCTAGTTGGTTGTCGATTTAACCCATCATCCGTCAGAGTCGAAAACCATGAGTGCCACTTTGTGGGGAAGTCAAAGGTGGTTGTAGTATGGGGAGACTTTCCCTCGCCATAGGAACGTGGAATTTCCCCCTACTGGCTCAGGGATGTAATAAGTAGATTACCACCAACCCACACTGACCAGTGTGAAGTATGGCCAAACATTCCCTGTGAGGGCTATGACTCACATGGCAATGTGTTGACAAATGGCTATAAAAACGCAACGTCATTCATTACCAAAGTAACCTAATTATTAACACCAACGCCTAGCATTGCTGCTGAAGAACTTTCAGGATTGCTTCGCTGTAGTTATTTTTCTTTTAACAGCTATTGTTCCCTGGATGCCATAATAGGATATTATGGCCTGCTGATGCTCTTATGAAGGCAAAACAATGTTTTTAAATAAATACAGGCAGTCCCCGAAATACAAGCGTCAGAGTTAGAAATATCCACTCTTTTAACTGAAATTTGCGCGATGGTTTATGCTCCTTGACAAAATCAGCATGGTACTGTGATTCATTTGTGGCAAGCACTTTGTGTGTAATGAGTGCGATCTTATAATGGATTTGTTCGGCAACTGGAAGCCAATGCAGTGTCGGCGAGCACTGAACGGACATGGTCGGATCTTGAAACACTCGTCCCGACACGTGTCAGATTATTTTGTACACGCTGCAGCTTGGTAATGTTTTCCCCAGACGTCCCGTCGAGTAGTGATTTGCAATCATCGATCCTTGTCGATACTGTGCTACATGCCACCGTGTTGGCTATGTCACGACTCAATAGTCGTAGACATATTCTGAACGAGTATGGTGCCGAGGCTCTTTAGATGAATAGATGTCATGCGATAAGATTATTTCGGTGATTGGAGAGACCTATGTTGAAAATAGGAAGGGCCCGAGGACAGACCCCTGCGATACTCTGGCTAGCCACCCGGCTTGACAAACTGTGATCGTCGATGTAGGTGTAGTGACATAGAATCGGTCACTTAGCAGCATAGCGCTGGTTGCTGGCAGGGAAGGGGATCTGCAGCTACAGCAGCTCTGACTGACAGCAGGTCACGTGATAGACCAGGGAGAGGGATGTAGGGAAAAGGTGACAGAAGGGACACATCGAGAACTTGCTAGTAGGTTCCAGAAGGGGGGCATGACCGGGGCGGAGCCAGGCCACGCTGATAATATAAGAGGGGCCCCGGGAGGGAACCTCGGGGCTGTCGTTTGGAGTGGGATCACCGTCGTGCTGCTGCTGCTGGAGTCTTCGTCGCCGTCACCATCTTCTCCATCTCGGCGTCGCCAGTCAGGCAGTCTGCCAGCTGTCCTGACTGGGAACCATAGTTATTACTAAAGTGTGAAGTGTCTCTGAGTCAGTCACTGCATAGGTATGACTCAATCCACCTCAGTGCCTTACCTGATACATCGAACCTTGACCTTAGCTGCCTGATGAATATCTCATGGTTGCTGGTGTCAAAGGCGGCTGAGAGATAGAGGCCAACCAGTGCTGTGGCGCACCAGTCATCCATGATCTTGTAAAGGCCATCAGTGATCTTTTGTCGAGCCATCTCTAGTGCTGCAGAACTTACATTACGCTGACTGCAATGGATTAAATCTACCCATGGCAGTGACGTGGGGGAAGTAACCGCTTCACGCACAGGCGCTCTTTGAAATCGTATTCAGGTTTGAGATTTGGCGATAGTTTGCAGGGTCAAAATCGTTCAAGGCAACTTTTTCAAGAGCGGTGTTACGTCCCAAATTTTGAACCAGACTGGGAAAAACAGCCCTCATGGAATGTCATCATTTGTTGCTGCTGTTGCTGTTATCATTGCTGCTGTTTTTGTTGCTATTGGTGTTGCTTCTTTTGAAGTCGTTGTTGTTATAAGATCACGCACACAAAATAAAAAGGAAGTCACCTAAATCCGGGTTTATCATCGGCCACACCCACGCTTTATTAAATGTCTTGCAGAAGGATAAATATAAAAACTGAACACGGTACAATAACTCACTCAGACTACAAGCCCACACGTGGCGCTTAATCAGAGCTGAATTGGACCTGTGGGGGCCGGCAGCTTGTCTGCATAAACACTGTTTCCTTGCACACTCAACAAGACAATCGGCGGTTATATGATGGGGGGACATGGGTGAAAGGTATTCCTTCACATCCTGAAGTTAAATACAGTTGTGTATGTCACTGAAACGCAACATTGAAGTTAACAACACGTCGTGTGCTTTGCGCTGAAGGGATTTTCGTGGGGTTAAAATGCAACCTCGTATGGCAATGTTCTGATGTAGAGGGCAATGTTTGCCGTGACCTGCGCGGTGTGCAAATCCCCTTGGGCATCGTCCAAGTGGCCCAAGTGTGCTGATTTACTGGGAAGAATTTGAGTGAAAATCAGAATCAGAAAGGGTTTTATTCGCCATGAAAGGTCGCACAAACAAGGAATTTACTTAGGCAGGAAGGTGCATACATTCAACATATAGTAATCTTAAATCTAAAATAAGTGGTATACAAGTCTAACTATACTAAAGGCTTGTTGTTGTTGAAGTTCACCCTGGTACGTGTTGGAATACAGCAGTCCTCATGGGGAACCTTCTTTAAACCAAAGATGTACTCATTCAACGTCGCCTTCCACCCATCTTTATACGCGTAGGGTTTTTATATTGTTAGCAAAAGGTAAACAATATCGAAAAACACATGACAAACATCACGTGTATGATAAGCATCTTTTGCCATTGCCTTATAAGAGGCCACTCTCTATTTTCTTGAAACAATGCAATGCACAGCAGCCTGAAATGCCGATGCTATTTCATTTATTATGCACTTCACGAGTTGAAATAACACGTGATATGCTGCGATGTTTCTACATACAATCCTGTACGTCCACACGCGCACCAGACCTGTGCGTGTGTATGACCAATGGCAAATGCAACTCTTACGTCACCTCAGTGAATATATTTCAGGGTGTTTTTTTACTGTGATACTCCTTTAGCAGAGGTACAAAAAGCTCAACACATTTGTCAATGACACTGCCCAAAAATGAATTAAATGTTCTTGCCCGAATCGTTGCTTATCACGTTGCCGTTACCTCATTTGTTTCCGATGGATATGTTGAGTTGTTTTTATTGATGGGCACTTCACGCCAGGCGGATCGTAACACGCCAGACTTGACAACCCACCCTCATTTGGCAAAGGGCCAAAAAAACAAACTGTGACAAGGCTGCCTCCCAAGTAAACATGAACCAACTTTGGCACGTGATTGGAACTATTGGATCAACAACGTTGGCCGAACGTACCGCACGTTTACTGGGCCACTCTTCAGTAACATGCCAGCAATGTTTTCGCTGTCGGGGGAAGATGCGATATGGAGCAGATTAGGTTATAAGGCATATCATCCTGCTGCTTCGTGACAGTATCTGGTAAGCTCATGCCTCGCCGAGGCAGTAGTCAAATGGCGTGGGACATTAACGAAGTGTCCAATAAGCCAAGTGATAATTTACATTTCTGATCAGATGTAAGGATACGCTTGTCAGTACGTTATCTTGAGATAAGTCAAACAATCATTCTTCTCAATGCACGACGTATGCCACTGGTGAACGGAGGGCTTAAGGGATTAACCTCATCTAAAATGTGGTCCGATGGAGGGAGGCTGCCGGGGATGGCGGACCTTGTAGCGAGTTTGTTTAAGCGCGGCTCCCAAACCACTCTGCAAGGGGCGCCGTGAATGTTTTACATTTCTTTGTTTATTTTAACACAATCAGCCCGCAATTCCTTTTGAGTACCATTCAGTCTATTAAACTCGGTGCACAAACAGATGGGTTACTGAATGCCAATGTAAAAGTCACTTGGAACATTGGGCAGGTGTTAATAAGCTGCTGCCTACGGACTTTTTTTTGCTCCAAGTTAAAAATAACTTGAGGACAAAGGAGTCTCACATTCGTACTCTTGACATCAAGCACAAGCAGAAACCAACCACTCCCCTCTCCTTCAATCACTCCCCCATCTCCCAATCACTCCCCTGCCAAACCCCTCCCCTCTCCTTCAACAACAACAGCCATTCGCCACTAAGTGGCGGTGACGTCACCACGGCGCTTGTGCCAGGCTATGTGCACGTTGAGGCCACGTGAAGTGTCGAACGCCCGCTGGCAGGTCACGGAACAGACCCAGAAGGTGCCACGGGTCGACTAAGATGACTGGCTGACGCACCACCTGTGCCCCCTACTGTGCCAACTGGCTGTTCTTTAGCCACCCGGCGCTCCGCTCGTTGTTGTGAGCGTCGCTCCTCTGTTGTTGGAGGGCGACTGCCTCCAACTCCCCAGTAGCGTCCTTCACGAGCCTCCTCCACAAAGGCCAATCTTGACACCGCTGGTACCAGTCATCGGCAATTCCACTCAGCTCCACGTCACTCTATCTCTGCTCTAGCCCGTGCCGCGCCCGTTTAGCCCAATCTATGCGGCCGAACAAAAGCTGTTTGGGCATGCGGTGGCTGGGCATGCGGGCTACATGACCCAGCAAACGCAGCCTTGTCTGCCGGATGAGCTCATCAATGGGACTTTGTCCATATCTTTCAAGGGTTGTGAGCTCCTCACACAATCCAGCCTGGTTAAACCCAGGATGGATCGTAGGCAGGCTAGCCTAAATGTTTATAGCCGGCGAAGATGTTCCATTCTCCTTCAACCACTCCCCTCTCAAACCCCTCCCTCAATCACTCCACCCTCAAACCCCTCGCTCATCTCCTTCAATCACTCCCCTCTAAAACCCCTCCTCCCCAATTCGAACCCAGACGAGGCCGCCCCCTCGCAAAAGCCCACAAATTACATCCACTCTGGCCCCCACCCACCCATCACTCCCCTCCACCCTTTGGACCCCCCCACCCCTCCGAAAGAACGTAAACAAAAACACCCCCATAGGTGCCATAAGTCTGGGCCTGTTTATATTTTGTTTAATCGGTTTTAAAAAAAAGCCTGTTAATTAAAACGTCAAGAAGGAGCAGGCGCAATTAAAACTACACAGATGCTTTTGAATCAAAACAAGGATGAGACTGAAGCGGTTCTTGGTATGTAATTAGGGTTCTTGCATCGGGTTGCTTCGTGTAAAATATGGTAAAATGTCTACTGCCATTTTTGACATCTTTTGAATGCATATATTGCAAAATTTAGCAACGTCGAGGTTCCTTTGGCCATTTTCCGCTTCAAATCATTGGCAACAATGTGCTGGTGGATATCTAGCATTTGAAAGAAATGTTATTAAATGTAGTGACATAAATCTTGACTTAAAGCTTTCGTGTCTGCAGGAATTCATATTCTTTGGGTCTTTCGGTAAAGTCACGTAGATAGGTTTAAAGAAAATAACAAAAAACCACGACGTTTCGATCACAACACAAGCGATCATCATCAGGACGCTTGTGTTGTGATCGAAACGTCGTAGCTTTTTGCTATTTTCTTTGAACCTATCTACGTGACTTTACCGAAAGACCCAAATAATATGTAGTGACATTTATAGCGTTATAAAGTGTTCACAAAAATACATTATAACAAAGGAAATAATGAACCTCTCTTTGAATTTCGTAAATAGTGAGCTTCCAGTATCATTCTGCAAGAGACTACTGTTTGTGGTCCACTATTTCAACATATTCCATTCCCTCCGACAACCTACCACTCACACTGTGATGCACATGCGACATTCCAATGGGCTGCTATTGTGCTATGATACATTTTATTTAGACGATGCTGTATGTGCTATTATGCCATAATTATAATCAATACTTCAGCAAATATTAAGACAGCTACCATGCCCAGAGATACTTCAACAAAATGACACATGCAGCAGCTAAAATGTCACAGGAACATTACAAAGGAACATATTACGACCTAAAACCTCAAATCCTAATACAATATAATTTGAACCTGCTCAAAAATACACAGCATTTTGGCTATACAAACGACTTTTTATTTAAATGATTTACGAACTTTATACAGACCTCATGTTTCATAAGAACCACGGGCCAGATTTAGGACAGTTCTGCAAAAAACCTCACTTTTAAATTAACGTAATTTTATCCGATACAAAATCCCTTAACATGATCAAATACTCTCCAGCTTATGTATATTTTTTATGGATATGATAAGCTGGCATTAAGGCCCAAGGCATACTATATCCACATACAGGTCGAGAACCTTCCCCTGGCTACGTACGGCACGAAATCAATTCAACATACATACAACCTCTCTACAACAACAGCTGCCATTTGCAGCCAGGTAACGTCACCACTGCGCTTGTGCAAGCTTAGATGCACTTTGAGGCTGGCAGATCGGTCAGACTCAAGTGTTATGGGTTGATTGAGTTAGATGGACAGATGCACCACACCACCCATATTACACTAAATGACATTAACTCGCACACAAAATACACGACCTCAACCAATCACTCATTCAGCAATAACCTCACACATCAATCACAACAGAAACACACACATCACACATACACATCACACATCCTGCTCCATATGTTCATGTTGACCATGATGATCAACATCATCAATATCTTCAACAACATCATCTTCCCCACCATGCGTTACCCATGGCGTGCTGGCAAGCTCCTGCGGGTCCTCGTGCCCGTGCGAAAGCGAGCGTGCGTCAGCGCTGCCATGCGCGTGCACGTGCACATCTGCACCCGTTTGTCCGAGCACGTGCACGTCCGTGTCCCTGTGCACGAGCACGACCTTGGTCCGGTTGTGCGACAGCACGCCGCCGGCGCCGCCGTGTTTTAATACGAGCACGTCGGCGTCGTGGCGAGCGCAGGCAAGCACACTCGCTTCCTCGTCATCCATGTCCGTGCCGGAGTTCCCCTGCGAGCGTATTTTCTCGCCGTGCCCCACCCCGCACGACAGCGTGGGCGATGGCGACAGCACGGTCGAATGGCCCGGAGACGGTAGCTCGCCGGCTGCGCTCGTAAAGGTTACAGCCCCAGACGACGGGCTAATGGTGTAGGTGACGTTCTGCCCCGGTAACGACACGATGCCCGACGAGCTCGTGTAGGTGACGGGCTGCTCCAGCGATGCCATGGACTGCCCCAGCGAGCTTGTGATGCTGTGTGCGGGGGTGATGTGAATGGAGCCGCCCGCACGCTGCACCATGTCCAGCGTGGCCAGGATGGCGCTCTCCAGTGACACCCCTACCATAGCGGAGGCCACGCCAGCCTCTCCGCACGCCACACCCACTTCCCTGCAAGCCACATCCCCCTCGTCAGCGCCCACACCCCCGTTGTCACAGGTCATGCTTCCATCTTCGCAGGTCACGCTCCCATCCGGGATGGATTCGGTCACTGTAACCACCACCTAAAAGAATGAAAACAATGGTAAAAATGCACCGAACCATCTGGAACACCACCCAGAGCCCAGCTTACCATCACAAATCTAAACAAGCGATTTCTCTCCGGAAAGCTGGAGTCTCTACCAGGTATTCGAGATGGTGAGGAGCATAACCAAGTCTGCTGCTGAAAAGCCACAAAATAATCTAATCCTGTTGTATCTATGCCTCCCAATATAAAAACCTCCAGAGAAGCATATTGCTATGAAGGTTTGTACACAATGAACAGTGACTAGACTTGGAATTTTTTAAATGCATGTACATCAATTATCTTTAATGAGAGGATTCATCTCCAAACAAAACTCTTCTTCGACCAATAGTATCCGTGGTTGGGCATCGAACCCAGGTGACCAGGTTCATATCGCAGTGCACAACTCCCCAAAATACAAACCCACACACACGTACACACGTACACACACACTTGCATGCGGTGATGCCCTGACCTGGTGAGTTGTTTCAGTGGTGTGCATCTCAAGCTTGGTGCCAGGGGACGAGGCTGCTGGTTCATCTTCCTCTTGTAGTGTAGTCAGCTGTGTCTGGAACAAACACAAAGATCACCTGTATAGCCTTAACAGACTGTAGGAGTAAGTGCTGTTAGTGAGCAACCTATGAAGGCTGGCAAGACACACCTGGCAGCCTTTGTCTCCCCAGTGACGATGTTTACACACCGCACCAGGTACTCAGTTGAAGCTGAGTCGACCTACGGGAGGCCCCGGACGAATTCAGATAATCGTCACTAGTGTTGGCCATGAGCGGGAATCAAACTGGGGTCGCCAGGTTCGTAGCACCACGCACTAACCACTACACTATCGCTCTCTGGTACACAAGTGTGGACACACGGCACAAAGACAAAGGCATTTTTTACACTTTCCAACTAAGGTTGAAAGCATTAATGCATTGGCCCTATTCGTCTGTCACAAAAATTCTCCTGAAGGTGATATATTAGTGGAAATGTTTTGTATAAAATGTTGTTGCTCTTTGGGAAGAACTCACCCCATTAGAAAACCAGCCAAATGTATTAATTGTCTTGAGCAACATTACAGAACTCTGAAATATATTGCAAAAGTTGGGAATGGTAGTTTTATTGTCACCGAAATGAATGTTCAGACCACCGAGCTATCCCATCGAGTAATATTTGCATAAATTTGAGGCTCCGTGAAGTTAGTCTCACAGGCTTTTTTTTATTAACTTTTGGTTAGTGCAATTCATAACTTCCAAATGATAAGTTACATATAACTCTCATAACCATAGCATGTAAACACTACCCATTAAAAAATAACTATATTAAACGCCACTTTTACCTTACAGTAAGTGCTCGTAAAAATGCATTCCTCAAAAGTGTCGCATTAAGCGAAAACTATTTCCCCATAAATAATGCAATGATAAAGTTTGGCGAGATAAAATATGCGCACACACAGTAAAATGTTGGGACAAATAACAGAGGATATGGCGCCGCGTTACTGTTTCATTACACGTACTATATCATACCGCTCAGCAGCCCAGCTCAAGAAAGTAGTTCGTCATCGACCGCTCAGAAACCATGTGATAACAGACATGTTCCGTGTTATAACAGGTGCCTTCCGCGTTATAACAGACGCATTCCGTGGTATAATGGGTGTGTTCCGTGTTATAACAGACGCATTCCGTGGTATAATGGGTGTGTTCCGTGTTATAACAGACGCATTCCGTGGTATAATGGGTGTGTTCCGTGTTATAACAGACGCGTTCCGCTGTATAATGAGCGCTTTCCGCGTTGTGCGAAAAGTGTTGCCTCATGGAAGAAGCGCATTTTAGCGAAAACGCGTTGTGTCAACACGCGTTCAAGCGAGTGACTTACCGTATTTCAAATCCATTGTGAAATATAATAACCTTATCATATCCACCCAACTTCTTGAAATAAATTCGTACTGTGGCAATGTAAAAACCAGGTTGGATTTATTTTTCCCTGTACTGTATTATTTCCTGTAGGGAGGTTGGACTGGTGCAGATCCTGTTACAATGTGGCAGGTGTAATGCTGTTAAGAGTGGTGTGGCTGGAGTGGTGGGTGTTCAAGGTGTCGTGTTGTGGTAGAATCAGTGTTGCTGGTGTGGTTACCGGCACGATGGTGATGGTGGGTGTGTTATCCAGGTCTTGGCCCTGAGCAAAGTGAATATGCACCAACTACAAACCACCACGACATACAAAAACCAAGACAGATGCACAAACCGCATTACACAGCATACACACCAATCAAGACTATCCCGTTTACGGTGGTAAAGGGTAAATCAGCATTAAACAGCCATGACAAAATAGTTCTCGAGCCCGTATTTTGCAGGTTTAACCGGTGTGAATTGTCAGAGTGAATTGTGCCTCTAGATAAAAACAAGATGCACCATCTTAACATAAATACAATGAGAATTACAGGCAATGCCAAAATAAGTTGCAAAAAAAAAGATTTGTTAACTAACACTGTCTTAAAAAGAAATACATATTTAATCGGTGACGTTTCGGACAATCGTCCTTCTTTATATAGCCTGAGAGGCCAAATGTTCATAGCCAAAAAAGTCATTGCACAATGCTCGCATAGGAGTTTGTGGTGGGAGTGGTGGGTATGATGCTGTGTGCAGGCTATGGCGCTTGTACGTGGATTGCACGTGGAGATGTAAAATAGAATATGTGTGCGCAAGGTACACGGTCAAAGTGTCACGCTGCCCAAACAAGTGTGGGGTAGTGCTGCTTATGTTAGGTGGCGATCCTAAACCAGGCGTGGAAATCCCACAAGCGCTCGGGCAAGAGGTCGTCATATTATTGTTAGTATGCTTACTTACCGAGGAAAAGCCTCACCGAGTTTCAAGACTCTTCTTCAGGAGGGTCCTGCCAAGTTTTCGCAGTAGGGGGTTTGATGTTCATATTTGTAATCCCAATTGAGAAATTTGCAGGTAATTTTTCAGCATTGGGACATTTGGCCAATACCAGATACATTGCTTATTTTTTTTGTTTGCTATGGGAGAAAACTGGAGAACGCAAAGGCAACCTATGTAGAACAGGGGGAGAACATACAGAAACCATAGAGAAACGCGCCCGAGTCAGGAACCAAACCCAGGTTCTTCTTACCTGTGGGGCACAAGCGTTGTGTTGAAAGTGTGCATGGCAGACGGGGTGTGCTTGCCTGTGCCTGGTTTGTACGAGCGTGTGCGTGAGTGTGTGAGCGAGTGAGTGTGTGCATGAGCGCATGTGACTGCGTATGTGTGTGCATGTGTGCGTGCGTGTGTGTGGGTGTGTGCGTGTGTAGGTGTGGGCGTGTGTAGGTGTGGGCATGTGTAGGTGTGGGCGTGTGTGGGCATGTACGTGCGTGGGTGTGTGCGTGTGTACGTGTGTGTATGCAGGGCAAGCCGCACCTCAGGGTGCTTGCGCTTGAGATGGCGCGTGAGGGAGGCGCGCGTGGACACCTTTGCCCCACAGGCATCGCAAGCGCGTGCCTCCACGCGCTGGTGGGTGAGCTGCTCGTGCTTGTGCAGCATGTACTCCGTGACAAACTTTCGCTGACACAACGTGCACTCAAACTGCTTCCCAACTGGTGCACACGGGGAAAAACACGAGGACACAATTCAGCCGCACATTTCTTTGTAACTCTGTGAGAGCCCCCTAGAGAAAATACGTCCACTTCAGATGCATACCTGGAGCGATTGCTCGGGGTGCACAAGGTGAGTTTACATACCTGTGATTCATAATTTAAGTCAGAGCGCAACTGACACAAATAATTAATTCATGTGGAGCAGGTGAGTCCATTCATTTGCAAGGTGAAACTGATTTTTTACATTAATGAAGCAGTGATGGTGATCGCTTTATAGGGTCCTCAAGTACTCAAAAGTATATATATTCTTAGCTCTTTCGGTAAAGTCACGTTGAATTTGTATTGTTTTATATATATTTTATTATTTTATTGTTTCCCTTCAATGTGACTTTACCGAAAGAGCTAAGAATATGAATTACTGCAGTCACGAAAGATTTAAATCAAAATTTTACTCAAAAGTAATTCAATTGATCCTTATGGCGGTACCCCGGTTACCAAATAATACAAAATGGCCGAGGCAATTAAATATTTTATTCCTGGGACACTATTGTTTCCAGGGGTGTAACTTAACTCTGCGACTGGGGTACCAATCAATCCGAAATCGGTGTTACTCCGCGATGTCGAAACGCGGCGAGGACAATTGCGCTGAAACCCTGAACGCTCGTACGCACCGTAGCGGTGCATCGTGTACAGCTCGTCGAGATGAGTGGCTTGCCGCATCGCCGACCATCAACAGACTAAAAATGACTGCTTCACGGACATTATGCGAGAGCCGGGGTGCTATGGTGACCCCGGGGTACCGCCATAAGGTTAATTTGTGAGAAAATAGCCAAATCAATGGAAATTCACAGCAGAAAACCTTACAAAGTAATTTCCACTATGCAGCTTAATGGTTAATGGTTACCTCTATGTGAAAAGTTTAGGTTGGTTTTCGCAGACTAAACAAGAGGACATAGCTATGCCAGGGCAGCGCTTGGGTTAGACACGAGGCAATATTCCCCCTACAATCCAGAATGGGTGTTTTTACTTCACGGTGTTTGAAGTGCGCATCACGCGTGTGGCGCGCAGGGGTGGCATGTGTCTTACCCGTGTGTACCAACTTGTGCACCTCCAGGCTGTTCCTCTCACAGAAGGTTTTCCCGCACAGCTCGCACATGTAGTCCTTGGTACCTGCACCTCACACACGGTACACGACGGAGCCAGGTCTCGACGGCCCAATTCCACCGCACCGGAGTGCACACGACGTAGCACGCCACCCGCAACAATTGAACAAATGATTTGGTGATGCTGCTGCTGCATTGGCCGTGGTGCAAACGCAATGAAGAAAAAAAGCACAACACGCTCGTCAACAACACTGCCTTCAAATAAAAAAGATACAATCGGTGACGTTTCGGACAATGGGCTATGTTCATAGCACATGAATGTCGCCGATTATAGATTTATTTTTCAAGGCAGTGTTATCGATGAGTGTGTTTTTGTCAATAATTGCAGTGTAGTCCAGCAAAATAAAACCCGCAAAGCACTGATGAGGCGTTGAGCGTGGTGTTCTAGCATGGAGCTTGCGTGTGGATTGTATAAAGCGGTGTGTTGCAGTTGAGCGAAAGTGGTGTTGTGCGTAGGCCTGTGTTCCAGAGTGGTGGTTGGTTTGAAGGCATCATGTTGTGGAGTGGGTGTGTGTTTTGGTGTATTGCGGCATAATGTGGCATGGTTGAAATGGACAGATGCAATGTGGGGTGATGCAGTGTGGTGTGCAGTATATAAGTGTGATGTATAACGCACGACCCTTTGTCCATCCACTGCTTGCTTAAGGTCTCCCCACACCATATTGGTTACAGAGACTTTGACCATACATCACCACACTGGTCAGGACCGGTTGTTGAAGGGGGGACTAATTTCTTTATTACTTGCCATTGGAAATGGAACTTTGGTTGCCAGATTTGTAGTGCAATGTGCTAATTATTGCACAACCACTAGACCATAAGTGTGATGTGTTGAGTTAAACAAGTGTTAGGTGGTGTGTGGAATGCCGTGGCGAAATGTGGTGTGATATAGAGTGCTATTATTGTGGGAGCGATGATGCAGTGGTTTGTGCATTGTGTCGTGTTGAAAGAGTGCACTATGAACCTGATGAGCTGAGGTCAAAACCCAGCCACGACCGATATCAGTGATGAGTCATATCTTAACTGCTCCTTACACCTTCCCCACTTCACCATACTGCACCCACCAGTGTGGCGAGCTCTGGCCAAATAACTCATAACATGCCGCTGGTAGGCCTTCATCCACCAGCAGTGGATTAACAAAAGGGCCGCATATTGCTGTTGTTATAACGTGGGATGGGGTGGACTGCTTATGGTGCTGCGATTGAAGGAATTCGTACCAGAGTGGCGTCGCATATGCTTGAGCATGTTGACCTTTTGACTGAAGGCCCGGCCACAGATTTCACAGGCAAACTCACGGATCCCCTTATGCAGCTTCATGTGGTGGCGCAGAGCGTGTTTTGTCTTCATACCTGAAAATTACATACACACCATGTACACCAAGTGACAGGACATAGATCCCCTCTATAGCCGAATTAGAATGTTGGGGGAGCATCTGTTAGTGAGCACCTATGATGAAGGCTTGCACAATGCACGAGGGGATGGTGTTGCTAACCCACGCCCGGTTACATTTGTCACCGAAGTTCTCACGTTAACGCTCCGCATCAGGTACTCATTTTAGGCTGAGTAGAGCCGTGGATTGACGAAGCAAATTCAGATAACCGCATGGATGATAGGAACTGCGACGTTTGTCCCCCCACATCACTGTGGATTAGAGTGCTCCTGTATTGTGCGAGTGTTTTCTGCGTGCTCTTGGTGCTCTTGTGAGTACCCTTTCCGCATTCTGCACAGAGGTACTCCCGGATGTTGTCGTGCACACGCATGTGCTCCTTCAGCATGTCCTTTCTTGCGAAGCACTTCCCGCACACGTCGCATCCGTGTGTCTTTTCTCCTGCAGACAAACAGATCCCCCCTATAGCCACAACAGACTTGTTGAGCAGGTGCTGATAGCGGGCACCTATGAAGGTCAACACGGCAAACGAGGGAGTGGGTGGCCAACACCATGCCCGACCACCCTTGTCACCTTGGTGCTGATGTTTACACACCGCACCAGGTACTTATTTAAGGCTGAGTCGATCGAGGGTAACACACACACCATGCCAACCGACATTGTACATTAGTAGGTAATGCATGGGTAATTGTGTATTTTAGCCACCCCCATGTCAATTCCAATGTGAATGCCACTTTGTGCACCCATGCACAGTACCTGTGTGTATGACACGATGTCGTTCCAGGTTCCCGGAGCTGTTAAAGATCCTTCCACACAATTCACATGGGTGTATGTATCTGGAACCACAAAGAAGACAACAATTACCATAAAACAATAAACTTTTGTCTCTCTCTTTTAAAACAAATACAACAACAACCGCCATTTGCCATTAAGTGGCGGTGACATCACCACGACGCTTGTGCCAGGCTATGTGTATGTTGAGGCCACGTGAAGTGTCGAACGCCCACTGGCAGGAGGTCACGGGGCAGACCCAGGTCCCACGGGTCAACTGACTGAGATGACTGGCTGATGCATCACCTATGCCCCCTACTGTGCCAACTTGCTGTGCTTTAGCTACCCGGCGCTCCGCTCGTTGTTGTGAGCGTCGCTCCTCTGCCCTCAGTTGTTGTTGGAGGGCGATTGCCTCAAACTGCCCAGTAGCGTCCTTCACGAGCCTCCTCCAAAGAGACCGATCTTGACACCGCTGGTACCAGTCATCGGCAATTCCACTCAGCTCCACATCCTCCTGTACCACATCACTCCATCTCTTTTCTAGCCCATGCCGCGCCCGTTTAGCCTCGATCCGGCCGAACAAAAGCTGTTTAGGCATGCGGTGGCTGGGTATGCGGGCTACATGACCCAGCCAACGCAGCCTTGCCTGCCGGAGGAGCTCACCGATGGGACTTTGTCCAGATCTTTCAAGGATTTGTGAGCTCCTCACACAATCTAGCCTGGTTAAACCCAGGATGGATTGTAGGCAGGCCAGCCTAAATGTTTCTAACCGGCGAAGATGTTCCATTTGGGGGGTCCAAGTTTTGCAAGCATAGAGAAGGAGGAAATGACTGTGGCTGAGAAGACCTGAAGCTTTGTGCGGAGCGACAGACCAGGTAGCTGCCACACAGTGTTACATAACCAAAGAAAAAATAATTATGCCGCTCGACTGTTAAACCGGAGCCAGTCATGAGCACACTGCCCAGGTATGGGAAACTCTCCACTCTCTCCACAACTGCCCTATCACCAATTAGGAGTTGTGGGAGCGGTGTCCGATGGTACAAAATACCCAGGCAGGTCCTTAGTTTTGGTGGGGCTGATGGTAAGGACCCACATTTAAGTGGCAAGCTCTAGGTTCAGCAGCAGCGCCTCCAACTCCTCCTCTGAGTGAGCAGCAATTACCAGATCATTGGCATACATAACATGGTTGAGCAATAGGGAGCTAAAATTGTATTAATAAAACAAATACGTCACCCACTATAGAGGTAGGCCTGCTCATTGGTCAATAATGAGTCAAGCATGAGGCCAAAAAATGTTAAATTGGGAAGAAAATCCTGAGGTTTCATAAATTATTTGGGAGACCAGAACAGCCTTTTCAAGACCAAGACTGTCTCGGCCACACCAGGATGTGAGGTAGCTCTAAGTGGTGTAAATTCCACATTTCTATGGCAGGCGTCCATCTCTTCACATGACGTATTTATGGTGCGTGGTGTCACGCTGGGTGTGTATGGAAAATTGTGATGGTGCATGGTGTGGTGTTTGGTAAATGGCGACACAGCGTGGTGCGGTACAGTGCCGGTGGCAGTGTTTGGTACAACAACGGTGCGACGTGGTGCGACAGTGTGCCGTACTTGTGCACAGTGGGGTCGGACTCAGGCAGGCGGTCGCGATGGATCACCATGTGGGCGTGGTACGTGGCTTTGAGCGCAAAGCGGCGGCCGCAGATGTCGCAGCAGAACCCACGCTCTTTGTGGATCTCCATGATGTGGCTCAGGTACTCCCCGCCACGTGCAAACGTCAGCTGTGTTTGCACGCAAAACAAACGGAAAGTTCTCCCTCGTATCGCCTCTACCAGACTTCGGGGACAAAGTGCTGTTAGCAAGCATTCATTAAGGCCAGCGCAGGACACGAGGGAGTAGTGTGGCCAGCACCACACCAAGATGCCTATTTCTCCAAGACAGAAAAGTGCTTGCATTCTGGAAGCCAAAAACCGTAATACATACAAAAGCAGATTTTTAAATATACGTATGATGTTGAACTTTTTTCACAGCATATGTAGCCAAATGTGCTAATCGGAGGTCCGGGGGAAGGCCAACAAACTAAACACAAAAAGCAGTTCTAAAGAAATGAGTTTCAAATCTAGATGATTTAAAAGTGCACAGCTCTAGTGGCTTACTAATATCGGAAAAGCGTTCCAGATGGCCGCAGAAGTGCATATGAAAGCGTTCGATGGCTAGCAAAAAGCCGCGGTGAAGATGACTGGAGTTCGTGTGATGGTTTATAATAATAGGCACAATTTCTACCATCGGATCAGTCCTCCAATTATATCTTGCATTGTCAAATGACATCACCTTGCTGCCTGTATAATTGCACACTGCCTTGTTTTAGACCAATGTTTTAGACAGCAACAGCAGGACGATAAGACAACTGTACACCTGTTTTATCCTTGACAGGAATCACCTGTGTAGTATAACAAGCACTCGGCCTGGGATTATTCATTGATTCATAAGCTCATGACACAAGCGTTGAATTTCAAGTTTCGGAGTTATGCTGATTATATGCAAATGGAGCTTTAGGTTAACGGAATAAATCAGACCAAACAAAAGAGCACAAGACAAACAAGAAAATAACAGGACAAACAAGACATACATGAATAAATTCCTACAACTGTGACCCTGAATTGTAACAATTCATCAATCATATGGAGGGGTTGCACTGGGTGAATGATTACGTGTCTATCATAGACCCTTTGTATTACATCTCCCCACCCGCCTGCCAGCACCTGACAGCGCTTGCAGTTGTATTTGTGGGGTGCGTCTTCATGGGAATCTCCGGGTGGTCCGTCCTCGTCAGCCTGGATGCCCAGCTGACTAATGAAGGTGTCACGTTCCCCATCGGCCATCAGAGCAATGTCCTGCAGCCGCATGCATGCATGCATACCCACTCGCACACAGCTTACACAAAACAACCCTTCTCTCCTCCCACCAAGCACATAGAGTTTAGCCATACAGACTGTTGGGGCCAGTGCTGTTAGCGAACACTTGCTGAACTTTACATACTGCACTTAACCTCGTGGAAGCCCAGGACCACTGATATTGGTCGTGAGCAGGAATCTTGCCCCGCCTCCAAATTTCCCCTCCACATTAAGCAGTCATTTTCGCTTACTAGTTTCGCTCTTCCCCCAAAACTCATTTATTTCCGTTAACTCAATCCACGACACAAAACTCCTGCTTCTAACCACTACCGTTCCTGCTCCCTCTTCAAAATCTCATTACATGGCGACCACTCATTCCCCATCCATCCAATCTATTCATCATCATCCTCTTTAATCAATTTAGTTTTTACCTAATTTACACATCAGAGATTCATCCATTACTTCCTCTCATCTATTTTATTCTCATCTCCACCATTACATTCATATGTACCATTCTTACTTCTCTAGAGAGCGCCTTCATCAAGACGCTATATAAATTACGTGAAGATAAGATATTCATCTTCTTGGTTCTTTCGGTAAAGTCACGTAGAAGGTAAATAATAAAATATTAAAAATAAAACATAATAAAATAAAATTCTCACGACGTTTTATTTTTATTATTTACCTTCTACGTGACTTTACCAAAAGAACCAAAAAGATTAATCCCTGCAGTCACGAAAGATAAGATATTCGTTGTGAGCGGGAGTTGAACTCCAGTCGCCGGGTTCGTAGCGTTGCATGCTAACCACTGCACCACCGCTCCCTACTCTCCTCCCTTACACACACCTAGCCACACAATTACCTGCACATAGACATGGACACAAAATAGCTAGGTTGTTAATACAAATACTATTAACACTTCTGTACAATGTAAGCGGGCAACCTCGCCAGGCGGCACGGTGCTTTGAGTGTGAAAGGTTCAAATTTTGACTCATCCCTTTAGTCGGCTGCGGTCGACATAACGAGCACTACTTGGCCGTATGTATGTACAGTATGTTGAACTTCTTTCGCACCATACGTAGCCAACCGTGCTAATCGGAGGTGCAGCGGAAGGAGAACAACCGGCAGTGGTTATTGTGTGAATAAGTTCGCCCATGTCACAGAAGCGTAATTTGGCTCAGGAATGAGAACAGGAGATGACCAACGCCCCCACGCTTTTTCGAGTGGGCAACCACTTGATATGTCGTGCCGTGTTACGGTGACTGTGCGGTATGCAGGAAATGGTGGGTAGTGTGGATTATTGTTCAGCACATAGTTGCATGCGACAAAGGGTACCCCGTGTGGTGTGGTATGCATGGTGGTGGTGGTGTTGTGTTGCGATGCGTACAGCAACTTCGTGTCGTGTATATTAATGATATGTTCAACGAGAACTATGACCAAATCACCCAGGATGCACCTGCCCGCATCATATCTCGAAAGCCAAGCTACATTAAGATTGGATAGTGCTTGGATGGGCGACTGGCAGGCATGCATCATAAGATGTATTTTTGTTCCTGGGTACTAAGTGTATTTTTTTTAATTCCTTATGTGACCAGGACTTTATGTGAACGAAAGAGACAAATGCACACCACGTGTTCTCATTGAAAATAGGTAAATTTCAAAATATCACAAGCAAAGTTTGTGGGGAATAATAGCCATTTTCTGTAGTTTTGATGTATAAGCAATAGGAAATAACACTTACTACCCAGGAACAAAAAATAAATAAATTTGTTACACTGTTATTAATGGAGTGGATTATTAACTTTGCTTTTATGTCCTGGTCACGAAGCAAAGTTTGTGGGGAATACTAGCCATTTTCTGTACTATTGAGGCATAAGCAATTAGGAAATAACACTTACTACCCAGGAACAAAATTTGTTTTTTGTTACACAGTGAATTAATTATCAGCAGAGGTAAGTGAAGCAAAACCCATCGTTGCACTGTACTATGTGACATTATTTCTGCTCCCTGCCTCTCACCAAACCGCAATGACCAGCATGGCGACATAGGGTCAAATAACCCACAAAACCTGCACGTTGTGTGGGGAGTCTTCATCCAGCAGTGGATTTATTTAAAGGGCTGCACGTGTATATAGTTATTATTATTTCCTGCACCTCCGATTAGCACGGCTGGCTACGTATGGTGCAAACGAAGTTCAACATACATACGTAGTTGCACAATACTGGGCGAAAACCCTGGGGCCGGCCCAGGACACGCTGGCAGGACTATGTCGTTCGGCTGGCCTGAGAACGCCTGGGAATTCCCGAGGAAGAGCTAGAATCTGTCACCAGGGAAAGGGAGGTCTCGATCGCCCTACTCAATATGCTGTCGCCGCGACCCTCACCAAGACAAGTGGATTGAGAAACGAACGAATGATACCAAGGGAACAGCACGCGTTGTACAGTGTATTGGCGTGTGCTGTAATGTACAGTGTGCTTGGTGTAAGAATAGAGAGTGCGATACGTTCACTGCACGTGGGGCGGTGTGCTTGCCTTGAAGTGCACGTGGATGTGGTCTCGAAGGACGTCCACGCGGTAGAACCTGCGACCACAGATCTCGCACGCGTACTTCTTGTCTCCGTGAGTCAGCAGATGTTTGTTCATGTTACTGCGACAGGAGAACACCTGTACGATGGACACCATCAATTCAATCTATCGGTTATCTACAGCATAGCATTGAGACAACAGACCGAACAAAGCAACGGGCGGAGATTAGCGGATGACAACCAAACTCTCGCGGTTTTCTGCTGGCTGGAGTTGGGTTTTTTTCGCAGACCAATGGAAACCACTTTTCCTGACTCTGAATTAAAAACGATTGTTCAACGTGCATACATATATTTTTTACATGGTAATAAATCAAGAGGTATTGATTTTTTTCAATACCTACAGATTAATTCGGACCTTAATGAAGCTGCAATAATAACTTTGCACTCGGCTATGAAATAAAGAAAACAGGACTATCGCCTAGTTTCGAATTGTGTTCATTTACTTCAAGAGAAGTATGGGCTTTAAATGCATGATGTCACCCAGCATAAAAATATTAAATTCGTTCATGAGGCTATCCACATATACAAGCACAGAGACAATTTCAACAGAGAAGATGGATTCTATCTTAGCAATCATTGGAAAGATTTGATAAATCATTTCAGTTCTTAATTGATTGTTCACGCTTACAGTGGCTTTCAGACAGCATACATTATAAAAAATTTCGTCTCCCCCCTCCTCTTTTAAAAAAAAATATAGATGGACTAGTCCTGGGCAAACTGCCAAATCGCTGCGCGTGACGCCAACGTTTTTTATAAATAAATAAATGTGCCGTTTAAAAATAAATTTATGCAAACCAACACACCTGATGATGACCGTTTGAGTTATGGTCGAAACGTCGTGAGAATTTTTTATTGTTTTATATATATTTTGTTATTTTGTTGTTTCTCTTCAACGTGACTTTACCGAAAAAACTAAGAATATGAATTACTGCAGTCACGAAAGCTTTAAATCAAAAAAAATATTAAATTGTTGGTTTTGAACAAGAAATATGTTACGATAACATTCACAAAAACTATTTTTTTTATTTTACAAAATTATTTAACCGCATCTTCACTGTTTTTGGGCCTACGCCTCATTATGAAACCACTAAATTATTTGAACAGTGGTTTGGATGACCAGGAGACCAGAAGAAGGTTCACAGGTAGGAGCCCTATATGACACTGTTGACCTTGCCCACGTTCATAATGTCACCTTATTGCACACAGGACAGGGCGAGGGCTCCTTGCGATACTTGTTTCGCCCCTCTGTCTCCGCATCTCCATCCTCCTTGCTCCAGCGCTTAGCACCTACACCAAAACAAACACCAGAATTTACACAAGATACACGCATGGGCTTAATTTAAGCCGGGTATGTCAGTGACCTGGAACAAAAAAACACATCCAGTATACCTCTTGCAATGGGTGTGGCTACTACAGCAAAGTGCACAAAAAAGGGAGTGTCTAGTTCGTTGAGATGAGACTGGTAACTGTGATTATATGATGTGCATAATGCCCTTTGCAAGCTGTGAATTAAACATGACACATGGTACACACGTCCCGAGTGCCAGCACAGATGCTCATGCTTAACGCTGTGTACGTGTGATGTGCCGAGGTGAAGTGTGTGCTGTGCGGCGAGGTGTGGTGTGGAACGCACGTTCCAAATGCCGGCGCAAATGCTCCAACATGACGTCGCGTCTGTAGAAGCCCTTGTGGCAGACCTCACACGCAAAGCGTCGCTCCCCGTGCTTCTTGCGGTGCTTCGAGAGATTGGATCCGGTGGAGAAGAACTTCATGCACACCCCGCACTGGAAGGTGCGCTCATCTGCAGCACACAGCAACAGCACACACGCACACCACGGTGTAAACTGGGGACCTTTGACCATGTTTTTCCGGCAGTCCACATAATGACATCATACATCATGCGTACATATGTTGGATGTATGTTGAACTTCTTTTGCACCGTACGTAGCCAACTGTGCTAGTTGAGGGTGTAATTTCACACGGTGTCATGACATCACAACGTCCGTACATGCAATAATGTATGCCTCTTGTCTCCATTATCTCATATCTTTCTTGTTGATCTCGCATTCTTACCAGTAATCTGTAACTGTTGTCTATAGCACTCTCGCATCTACATTTTGATTATCTCGTCTCAGTAATCTGCATCTCTTCATGCCTCGGTAAGCGACATCTCTTGGTGAGCCACTCCAAGAGCCACGGGCCACAAGTTGAAGAACTCTGGTGGAAATAATGTCATCACCAAGGATTGTGCTGTGGTGTTTCAAAGTGCGGTGTGTGGTTTTCCCAGGTATACAGTGGATGGTAAGTGAATGTGGGTGGATGGGTGCACAGAGGTGTACAGAAGTGTGTCCTGCTGCATGGTTTTCCGGTGTGCCATGATGGGAGTACCCACCAGTTTGACAATTGTGAAATTGCAATGCCCCCTCGGTCTTGAAGGCCTTGTGGCAACCGATGCACTGATGTGGGAATTCAATGTCCACCTGCTCAACACACACACATGGAATTATTAGTCAATACACCATTAAAAATGTTTCACAGAGGTACTATTGATCATCCTGAAAAGTTCTGTGAAGTGAAAACTAAGGCTTTGTGAATGCTTTACATGCTTCTGGACAGAAGGAAGTTAGGTGTTTAGCCACACAAGGGAAGTGTGTGGTGTGTGAAGGATTTTGTTACCCGAAGATGAAGGGATTTAGTTGAGACAATGTTTAGTCATGGAAAGTTTAGAGCAACAACATAGACAATGTCAACACTGCAGGAAACTGGAAGGTATGAGTCGCTGAACATGCAGAAGTGGTGACACAGCATTACACAGCAGAACATGCAGCCGCTACTCGTCAATTATAGAGCACACTACCTGGATAAACATTCAATATTCCTCATTTAAAAACCAGGTGAAAACCTTCGAGAAGGGATGTCTTTCCTACAAGTAAAAACTAGATAGCGCTGCTGTATGCACACTGTGTGCATGAACAAACTGCTTGGATACATTTCGATTTAAAGCTTTCGTGACTGCAATGATTCATCTTCTTTGGTTCTTTCGGTAAAGTCACGTAGAATGAACGTGGCTCTTTCACTCCAGCGCTGTCTTACCAGACAGTCTCGTCCCTTCACCTGATGAAGGCCGCTTGTGTTGTGCCGAAACGTCGTGAGAATATTATTGTTATTTTATTTTATCAATTTATTATTTTATTCTCATTCTATGTGACTTTACCGAAAGAACCAAAGAAGATGCTTGGATACAGACGCTCCTCCACATTAGCAACAACCTTCCCACTTATGAAGAAAACAAAGAAAATGCACAAAAGCTTTCCTACCAATAAAGAAAACATAGAACACACGCACACACGCACACACATGCACCCATACCGTGGGGCGGCTGTGTTTGTAGGACACATGCTGTTTGAGGCTCTCTTTCCGAGTGAAGTCCTTTCCGCACTCCTCGCAGCGAAACATCTTATCCCCTGACCAATGAGAACAAAATTATAACAACCACTCCCATAGTAACACAGTGATGACTCTTAAGAACAAGGCACAACAATCAGTCGGTGTACATCTATCTCAATCGTAAATAGTCACACGTAAACACCTGATACCATTAACGTATGTATGTAGAACTTCTTTTGCACCGCACATAGCCAACCGTGCTAATTGGAGGTGCGAAATTTTTACAAAATGCTATGAGCGTATCCTCATATTAGGTGCATTGCCATTATGCCCGTGTCCATGTGTTTGTTGTGTCCATGTGGTTGCACACACGTTTGTTGAATTTTATGTACACGTGTCCCTACACGTGCCTCCCAGTTGGTACCCGTCTGTAGATTTGTGTCTGTGGCAATGCATACCATGTGACCGCACATGTCGGTTGAAGTTGCTGCAGTTGCTGAAGGTTTTTTGACAGAACTCGCACTGCAGGACCCTTTGAGGTCGATACCCCTTCCTGCTGAATCTGCGCCTGTGTATACAAACAATGGACACCGTTTATAATTAAGTACAGGACTCCTGGCCACAGCGTAATACTTAGAAGTGGGTGACATCTGAACCAGTCCTGGGTTACTGCTTTACCAAACACGTACTGACCAGCATGGTCAAGTACGGTCAAATAACCCCCATGACCGACACAGCATTGGGGTGTGAAGTGGTGGTGGCAGGGGGCTTCATCCAGCAGTGGATTGACAAAGGCTGCAAATTAGGATGCTTTTTGACTCATAAGCTTAAGGCTGCGAGTTCAAATTCTGGTCGGGGATCAATAAAGTCCATCATCCCTCTGCTGTTGATGAAATAAGTAAAAGTGAGTGGGAAGTCAACGGCGGAAAAGTGGACATCACTCGGCATGCCTTTTAGCTTCTGCATAACGCGAAAAAATGTTACTGCATCTAAACTGGACCCAAAGAGTAACCAACGTAGAAGAAAAAGGTTTACATTATGAGACCTCCTTTGCCAGTAACAAGATATAGGAATAGGTTTTACCCTTTTAACTGGCACAAAAACTGACACCTTTATTCAAGGCATCATGTTTGCTATAACCACAACACAAGCAGTCAAAATGCAAACAAAAAAGACAACTCTGATAATAATATGCACTGTCCTTGAATTTGATTGGTCCACACCCGAGACAGGTTTTTCTTAAAGCCTAGTCTCCATTGGTGTTGGACCAGAAGACGCCAAAAGGCATCATATTATTATCAGAGTTGTCTTTTTTGTTTGCACTTTGACTGCTTGTGTTGTGGTTATAGCAAACATGATGCCTTGAATAAAGGTGTCAGTTTTTGTGCCAGTTAAAAGGGTAAAACCTATTCCTATAAGAAAAAGGTTGCATATAGAAAACGTGATGCAGGCAGTGATGAAAAAGGAAACTGGCACTATTTGGATAAATATGTCGGATGGACAACAAGAGGAAAACCTAAAGTGTGTAGTTTGGAAAGATGGAAGGAATCGGAAAGAGAGGAAGACCTAACAGAGAATGGCTTGAAGACATAAGAGATTGATTGGTGCCAGAAAGATGTGCACTACTTGAGCAAATTGGCACGAGCCAGAGGAAAGTGTAAACAAATTACGAAATGTGCAGTGGACACCTACGAGCTATCCGCCCATGGATTGGGATAATAATAATGCTGAAAAAGACAAAGGTGAGCAAGTCCCTATGCACGGGGTAAGGAATATCAAGCAATGTTTCCGCATATGAATATTTACTACTGTAAATTATGTGAATCCTTTACCTTTTGTCATACAGGTGAGGCATGGGCCAGAGTGTGGAAATCACAAGAAAGCAATAAAGGAGCATAAGGACCCCATGCACCAGTGTAGCAACGTTTCCACTGCTTCTGGAATGTGGTTTCAATATGAAGTGTTTACATTTATCATCAGTGAATAAATCACCAATCAAGGAACTCGAATGCACGTTTAGGTTTACATATGAAAGGATGCCAAAGGCCCGAATGAGGGAGAGGGCCAGGAGAATTGATTAGGATAACTTGGAGACACATAAAGGATATAAGCAAAGGATATAAGCATTCGTCCGACGAAGTACCGTGTCTGGAGAAAATCTGCCTTCACTGAGAATGAGAAGACATGGGTGTGGATGGTGACAAAGAAAAAAATGGGGAATATGTAGTGGTGGAGGAACACGGAAGAGTTGGACCTGTGCAGCTAGGTTCCCGTTTGCCATTCGGCGTAGGGGGCCATGTTGTGATCGCTGTATTTGACTGGTGTTTCACCCTACCAGTCATCTATTGGTAGAATAACTCCCACCAGCCGTCCATATGTGGCAACTCAAAGCTTGTCGGGTACGTCTACACGGACAGCCCTTTTGTTAACATACTGCTGAATGAGGGCCTTCCCAGATCATGCCTGCGAATAACCATATGTCTACACACCAATAATTGCGAGTTAGTGAAGGGCAGGGAAACAAATGTGACAGCAGGGTTATTGTACAACTGATTTTGCTGCACTGCCCTCTGCTGACAACACCTGATTGGTTTAAGGTGGTTTCCCATCCAAGCACTATCCAGTTCTCGCTCAACCCTACTTAGAGATCTGATAAGAGCTGGCATATTCCAGGTCAGTCAGTATCCCTTCTATAACCAGGAGATGGCATAAATCCATTGAGACACGTGAAACAGCATTGCCTCTTTTGCGAGAGCAACCTGGGTCAAAGTACGGTGGAAGATGGTTGTAGCCTGGCATGTAGCGCAGGGTTGTGCAATTTCAGTGAATACGTACCGAAGAGTGGTGTGTGCTGCTCCCTCTCCATCTGCCTTTTCCGACGCTGACAATTCGCCATAACCTGAAACACATGTCGGTGACATCGCACATGTACATGACACTAACACAAAGGGTGACATAACATGACGCAGATGGTGCATGCGAGCGAGTGTAGCCTTGACAGACTGTTGGGGAAAGGGCTGTTAGAGAGGCCGGCACGCCACACGAGGGGGTGGGTGGCCTTAGTCGATTTATGGGAGGCCCAGGACTGGTTCAAATAATTGTCACTGGTATTGGTCGTGAGCGGGAACCGAACTCGGGTTGCAGAATTCGTAGCGCAGCGTGCTAACCACTACACTTCCACTCCCCACACACCAGCACGCACACGTGTTTGCTGGGTGATTTGATCATAAGCACGGCAGAAGTATGCGTGGTTGTAAATACAAACATGGGGTCATGACGCATGTCGATGGTGTTTGGCGGAGGTAGTGCGTGCTGGCGACGTGTGCTGTGGCGTGTGTCCGTGGTGACGAGAGGGTCGCCGATGCTCACCCCTCAGCCCCATATACGCTTCCTCCCCGTAGGGCCTGGCCGCCTTCCTATGTCGCGAAGCACGCGTCGTCCCAGAAGCCGAACTGGAACCCGATCCAGGACCAGTGGCACCGCTGAAGGCGGTGCTGGCGACGGAATCGAGCTCGGACGTGGCACTGGCGCTGGCGGCAGCGGCGGCGGAAGTGGATTCGGCACCAAACCCGGCAGGGCCAGCGACCGCAGGCGGCGCGTACGACAGCATTTGCGGCATAATCGGCGGCAGGACGTGGGACGGAGGTTGGTGGGTGGTGTGCGTTGTAGTTTGCGGTAGAAGTTGCGATTCGGGGAGCGGTGTGGTGTGATGTGCTGGGTGTGGTGCGCTGTGTGGTACTGGGTGTGGTGTTGTTGTTGTAAGCGGTGCCATGTGCGGTGTAGGGTCTGGGGTCTGTAAATTAGGGTGCGACGATGACCCTGCATTTGCTGGGGCAGGGGCTTCGTTCAGATGAACCACCAGGTGATCTGTAAATGTGTGCGTGTAGGCACAGGTACACGTATATTTACAAACATACAAAAGTATAGGCAAGCATGAAATTACATAAATAATCTAAGAAACGTCAAGCTTTCCAGCTTACAGATAACATTTTACGGCTTTTCGAAGCGATTGGCTTAATGCGGCTGCAGGCTGTACGACATTAACTTGTGGGGCCGTATAATGTGAAGTTATGGGCTGTATGAAATGAAGTTGTGGGCCGCACCCAGGCCATGGGGCGTAGGTTTTGCAACACCGGGCGCTCACAGTGGCGAGATGTTAACTCCTTTGCCCGGTATACAGGTTGTTGGGTTCGATCCCGACCCTGATGCCTGTAGTATATTTTGACTTTGCATGTTCTCCCCGTGGTCGCGTAAAATTTTCTCCAGGTCCTTCGGTTTTTCCCTCCACATTTCGAATCATGTATGTTGAGAGTATTTGGCTATTATAAATTTCCACGTGATAAGCCACTTCCGTTCAACTATCATTTGTGGCCAGGTCGCTTCTGAAAAAGAGCTATCTAGCTCAGTGGTCTTTACCTGGTAAAATACAAATAGTTTACAAGGCGTGCCCCAATGTGCATGGGTACCTGTTAGTTGCTGCGCGTGCTCGAAAAGTGCTGGGCACACCTGGCACCTCCACACCTTCTTGTCCTCTCCCTCCTCTACACCTGTGGTTTACACAGCACAAACGAGACGTACCACGCTCAACACACCAAACAAAGCACAGCACTGAAAAGTAGACCTTGCCAGTAAGAATGTAAGAGTTATTTGAGTGATGAAGTTAGCCGGTGGAGAGTTAGTCTCCGAGTAGAAAAAGGACAACCTAATATTGGTCCAGTGTATAGTACTGTACCTTATTAGATATAATACTACATTATACAGGCGTATAGTACTGTACCTTATTAGATATAATACTACTACATTATACAGGTGTACTGTGTACTGTATGGTATTCAGTCTTATAGTCAACCTTGTTCCATTCAAACTAATGTATTTGTATTTCTAAGTGGATACAAAATGTGTGTCCATTTACGAATACACATTTCCCACTCGCACCCACCACCACTATCACCACAATCAATCACCACCATCACCACCATCACCACGACACGCACAGCATCTACAGATAGCATGCAGACCCACGTACACAGCAAGCAAAACCCAATTGACTACACAACACAGCAACTTGTGCAGGTGTATAGTGCAAGTACAATAACTTCGTGCAATGCATTGTGGTTGAATTGACCACATTTCATTACTGCAAAGCCATATTAGTTGTATTATAAAACTACATAAGGGTTGCCGTTTCTGGAAATAAAATTAAAGCCTACAAATGTCAAAATGATCAGTTGTTTGTTAAACTCAACCAATAAAATGCCTTCAACTCACACTGACCAAAATGGCGAAGTATGCTTAAAAAACCTCCAAGATCCCCATGGCGTGGCAGAACCCTCATCCAGCAGTGGACTGAGAAGAGGCCGGTGCATCGACTCCATTGTCACGGCAGTCACTGCGTGCGTGCGTGCGTGAGTGATTTACTCGTTTGAGTGAAGACCTCACTGGGACCTCCGGCAGGAGCCTCTGCAGACAGAACGCAGAGCTGCCCTGTGGGGCGGGTGGGAGAGAGGCAGGCGATGCATCCTTCAGGGGTGTCTTGGAAAATAGATAACCCATGATAGCTCCCTTGGAACCCTACAAACCATGTTTCCTCGTTAAAATAGCATCTCCCCACGGATGGCTACACAATTAATTTAACAGTTTACTTTGTTCATCCACTTAATCTGCCTACTCTTAACAAAGGCTTTCCATCCAGGACAATTAAACGGTGGAGGATATCAGGTTTTTTTTTCCCCCAAGTCATTTCTCAATTATAAAGCAAGGTCATTGTTGTTAATGACTCCCTCATTTGGTCACAGAGTTGTTTTGATGTAATTTAGTTGTAATAAACAAGCATGTTTAAATGGCAGTATGAACTCAAAGGTAACAATCGGCTAAGCAAGCATGAGACTCAAATACAGCTGAGTGTATTCCACAGTGGATACACTAACAGCCCACTCTTATGCTCAAAAGTAGGTTGCCACAGCCAATTCAACTATCCACATTTGTTTTCGGGTTAGGCCACTTATTAGCTTATGCTTTTTAGCAAAACACACGTCAATACACAACGTTCATAGCCACTGCATTCAGATGTATGTTGCTCTTAGACTTGTCTATTGTTTAAAATCCCAGACAACAATGACCTAAAAGTGAGATGGGGAAAAATTGATAACTTTCTTCCTTCCCAAAGAAATGCACATGTGCTTAACAATTATTCATCAATGATTACACTAATTAAATGTTAAGACTATTGGACATAAAACTAAATAATTGTTTTTTCACGTAAAAAATTTAAAGTACTTTATACACAACCCGCCAGCAGCTTTCTGGGAATGCAACTTATCAACAGCATTGGTTTGATACGAACTATTGACTGGTTTCGACATTCAGAATCTTGCAAGGAGTCAGATTTGCTTGAAATACCATATGTTTATAGTCGCCTGCATTGTAAATAAAATTCTCCACATTGACGCTTGTGTTATGTTTAATATAGTTTTGCGTCGAACTAGGACCCATGGGCCTTGCTTGTACTCAAGAGCTAAAATATACCAAATTGAGGAAAATAATAAATGTAGTGCACTTATTGTGCAGCCATTGCTGACACGTTCAGCAGAAGACAGTGCAGCAAAATACAATTATGTACTGTCCAGTACTTCAACATCTGCGCTGCCCGCCTTCACCAACCCGTACTGACCAGCGCAGAGGACAGTCAAACAGCCCCTGCGACCCGCACAGGTTGGGGTGGGGCCCCCATCTGGCAGCAGATTGACAAAAGGGTTGTGCACGTACACGCGCGACAAGCCTAAGACCGTCGAAACTGTCGCAATTATAACCTCATTCTCAGATGGCTGGATCCCGGATTGGAAGTGTTGGCTGAGGTGCTCTGACACGGATACCAGGGCCCTGAGCCATTCGGCCACCTGCTGGAAAAGCAGTCCCAGGGTGCGTTGGTGTCACACGTGTGTGTGGGTTGTGCGCACCGCGGGGACGAAGGGTGTGCATGCTCATCTTCTTGGCATAGAATGCAGCGTACCACACCCTCAACTCCGTGCCAGCCGGGATGTCCTGGCACATCACATCAGCCAGAGCCAAAAGTATTATATATGCTTACAAGTGACAATAACCACAAAAACACAAGTGCCACTGGTGTCAGCCAGAGCCAACAAGATTATATATTTTTACAAATTGCAATAACCACAAAAACACACGAGTGTCATTCTCTGCCCATGCTGGTAATGCTACCAATGCACCTGTGCCAGATGTTGTACTCTAAAAACAAAAATAATGTTGACGATTTTGTAGAGGTCGCAGACAGGTTATATAAAGAGTCACAAATATAATTCCCTAAATTGCACATACAAGAAAGCATAATAAAACAGGTCAGAAGTGCACACGCCACAAATATTGAACCGCAGAGAGAAACTGAACAAACACAGGAGCAAAGACAACCTGTTTTCGCTTCTCAATTGGACAAAAACATAATTATGGTCGTTATTTATTTTTCACAGCTCAGGCATTGCTGTGACAACAGTAACATCTGCATAAAATGCAACCGTTTTCTCCAAATTATAAGATGCCCTTTTTCCCCTTGTATTTTAAAGCAACTGTTTGACGATGTGGAAGCTGTGTGGGTGTGTGTGTGTGTGACCAGATTTGTATAACTTTATAGACGCCAGGCACACGTTTGGGGTGCGTCTAATTTTCCAGAGCGTCTTATAATCCAAAGAATACAGTATAACACAATCTACCACCTTATGATGGGGTGACAGACTTAACATGTTATACATTACGTGAACTTACACATGCATATTTCCAACGTACAACGATATAAATCAATACATATACACACGGAAGCTCAATGTAAATGTGTTTACACACAGGAATGTGCCCTTACGGATTAACATGTAGTTAAGTTGAACATGACGTGGCCCTGCCGGTATCGGTCACGGGAGTAGTAGCCTAATATTGGCAGGACTTTTCGTGGTTGTGGCATTTACACTGCTACTTGTTAAACCGCCTATGACCAAATCGCTTGTAAGATACCAATCTCATCATAATTCAAAAGCTAAGCAGGGCTTTGAGACTGGACAGTGCTTGGATGAGTGACCACCATGCACTGCCCAGTTGCCAAAGGCTGCAGGGGCACTGTGCACGTACACGTCCACATGTTATACTGAAGGCGACCGACATCATACCTGTGACGTGGTGAAGTAAATGTCGTGGTTGTACTGGTAGGCGGTGAGGTTCTGATGGTGGTGCTGGGTCGCCGGCCTCACCAGGATCATCCAGTTACACAGCGACTCATCCTGCATGTCCAGGTTCACCACTCCTTCCTTGGAGAACACCTGCACACAACAAGCATGACGGAGACGCTTAGACGTGCTCACCTTCCATCAGGTGGCCGGGTGGGTCAAGGAGTCAGAACGCTTGCTGAGCTGGCTCCACTGAGATCCTTGGTTCAAATTCAGGAAGCCGCCACCTGTGGTAAAACCGGGTTCTCAAGCAGAGTGAGTTGATGATGGCCTCAACTCGGTCATGAATGACTGCACACAATGCCTTCAACAATAAATTTGATTCTGCACTTTATTTGGCTAAATTCCAGTTGTAAGAATTTACATGTTTAAGTTTGTCACCTGATAACAATTACTCTCAGCAGTGGAGTGAGTGTATCGATAGTTCAATGTTAATGTTCCACTTTATTGAGGGATTATGTGTTATAGTGGTGTGGTCTGGGAGGTGTGCTTACCTTGAGTGGCATGGTATGCACCCCGTCGGCACGGGGCGGCGGTGTGTGGGGTGTGCGTGGTGCCTCCAGGGGTCCAAACTGCGTGCGCTTGAGCAGCGCGATACGACAGAACACGCCCTCGCCACCACGCGTGCACCCACGCATCTCCAGGGACGGTGGCAGGGTCGCACTGCACACCGCACAAAGTACACCTTGTCGCATGAACTCACATGATGGCTGGTAACTTGGCCCAGCCGTAGCGCATTCGCCGCTTGTTGCAGAGGTCCACGGTTTCATTGCAGTGCACGCCATGACTTATGACAGTGAGTGTAATAGCCAGAATAATACTGCGCACCGTCTGGCTTCACAGTGGACGCAAAACGATTCCCTGACGTCATTGTCAAGAGTAAGCAATTGGGTGCCGGCATCAGGGTCCAAATTTGGCAAGTTAAAATGTATTCACAAATTACTCAATTGGGATTATACATAGCAATCATTGCCCCCTACTTGCAGACTAATGCCCCAGGTCACTCTTGTAAATGAGGTTATGCTGGTCCCTTGAGTTTTCACATGGTTAAATGAAATACCCTTGAAACATGTGCTATACACTCTATGCACTCCCCTAGGATCTTTTTCTGCACGCTGCACGTTGCATTAAATACCAAACCTCATTCGTGTAAATGTCCACTCAAATGAGACTTGGGCAATGCTCGGCTCTAAGCCAGTGCTGGAAATGTCATGTTCCTACAATGGGCGTGAGTTTATCCACAAGAAAACCACCCATTATTTTGTATGGCATTTGAAAAGCAAAACAATTTTTTCATGAGCCACGAGATCTGGAAAAGTTGGACCGCGACCCTCAACTGCCATGATGGCTACAATAAGAGCCCTCACATTGCAAAGTGTTCCTTTATGTAATTGAGACAACAGCTGTTGGTAGCCGCTGTTGTTTTACTTCGAACATTACAAAATACGCAAGTGTCTTCTTGAATAGGGTCTTGTATAAGTTCACTAAGATTACAGGAAGCAGATCTTGAAGACCAGCCAATACAAGACAATGCAGATCCATATAATGTATTATGTAGAACATGGGCTCACATCCATGATTAATGCACTATGAAATACAAACACTCTTGCCTATGGGCTAGCATGCTCTGGTCAGACACTTAAGGGGGTAGCACTGAACATAAGTTAAAGGTTGTCCGGGGTGACACGTGAAATGTTGTGATGATTGCACACATGAACGTGTTGACGCAAGACGTTTAAGAGATATCTGGTGATGTTATAGTAATGCGAATCTGTAGATGGCGATTGGAGAGAAATTGTCCACGGGGTTAGTAAAATAAATATAATTATTTTCAGGCTTTTAAATTTTGATTTAAAGCTTTCGTGACTGCAGGGATTCATATTCTTGGTTCTTTCGGTAAAGTCACGTAGAAGGAAACAATAAAATAGTAAAAATATAAAACAATAAAATTCTCACGACGTTTCGACTGCAACACAAGCAATCATCATCAGGTGTGAAAACCACAACAAGAAAATTTGAAAAAATGGCGGTTATTTTTAACGTTAGCACCAGTTATTTTTTACGTTATTTTATTGTTTCCCTTCTACGTGCCTTTACCGAAAGAACCAAGAATATATTTCAGGCTTTTGTTAATCTGCTGTTTAGCGAAGGTGTCCCCACATTACATTCTTCTTGGAGATCGTTCGATTATTGCTTCACCACGCTGGTCGGTGAGGGATGGTGCAAAGGGGGCTCCAGAACTAGTTGAGAAGATATCAATCTTTTTTTTATCTTGATCAAAGATCATAATTTATATTCGTGTAAAAATCAATCTCACGAGTCCGTGGATTCTACTCAAGTCTGGCTGTGACTGACAGAAAGAATCAACGTTGCTTAAACGAGGGTGGTTCGAATCTTTCCTGGACTTTGCACACAGAAAAGAGATAATTCTAGGATCGTGGCAACTTATCTACATCTCAACATACCGGTAGTCTCCATCCACAGCACTTCGTCACCGGAATGTGTGCACCATAATTCATTGCCAGGACAGAGACGCTTACCATTGTTTCTGGATTTGTTATTGCCAAGTATTGGGTAACCTTTTGATCAATCTGTCAGATTTTTCTCTTCAGTAAGTCATTCATTATAATGCAACTTTAGCCTAAAACGTAATTTTATTGGAGAACTGTGACCCCATGTCACAAAGCTAGACAGACGGACAGAGCTCATGCATAAACACTTTTCAACCCTAGCTTACTCCATACCTCAAAAACGCGCACACACAATAATCATTCTATCACCCACGCGTCACTGCTGGTCGCCACTTTTGCCACCCACCATCGTCCTCCTACCCCCGTCACATCTTTCACGACCATACCAAGAAAATGACGCACACAATATATGTAAAAAAACCACATCGACCTATATATTTGTTTAAGAATGAGATTGTTTAATGAAAACTTGCGGGACGTGTGCGTACCGTGCGCGCGTGGTGGCTGTGGTGATGACCTGCAGCGGCCCCCTCTCAGGACACTCTGTGTCATGATATTCACCGCACTCATCACACCCTGCAGGCAGGTAAACACACAAACACATTCCAGTATACCCTTAAGCGACTTTTGGGACAAGTCCTGTTAGTGAACACCAATTAAAGCAAACACAACAATGTGATCATTGTGCATACTACCTGCTTTGGCATGTGGATAAGACACATGAACAATGACAAAACAATACAGCAAAAGCTGACAAATGCATTCACAAGCAAAGAGCTGTATGCTCGTAATTACAATGACAGACATACAGAAGGAGGAGCACGAGGATTAGAAAACATATACAAGGAACAGACATTATATTGTAAAAAAAGTGGGTTTGGGCAGTATACGTCATGCGAAGGGATGATGGACAGTGTTAGAGACTAGTGATGGACCGATGAAATCAGGTCGTGTGCAGGTGCTGGATGGATTGTTACATGATAGGACTGTGAGAAGTGCCGGTGGCTAGGGCAGGCCTTCACCCAGCAGGGAATAGAGCATGACTGATGACGATAACATGAGAGCTTGTGACTGGCAATATGCCTGCTCACCTTCACCCGATATACATACACCACACCGTACACTACTTTCAGGCTGGATTGACCTCGAGGGGAAGGGGGGGGGAGTCAAAATACTGCATACCACTGATATGGTGCATGGCCAGAAATTTAACCGATGATACTATAGTGTACGGCATATGCATGCAAGCAAATACAAAGTTTGAAAGAATAATTGCAGTAAAACTAAGGGACTGTGCTAGTCATAATACAACCCTGTCACATTCAAAAGTGAGTGTTGAGGTGTACATTTTTTTGGAGGTAATTTAATATAGTATTTACCACATTACACTTATGAACCTGGTGGCCTGAGTTTAAGTCCCGATCACAGCTAACATCAGTGGAAAGTGACATCCGAACAGGTTCTGGGTTCCCCTTCTTAACCACCCGAACTGAACAGCATGGCGTAGATGGTCAATCAACCCCACGACCGACATTACATGGGAAGACCTTCACACAGCAGTGAATTAACGGGTTAATTTTACGTGAAGTATATGTGAACTAAGTTTTTGACTCTGCTTGTAGCCAGAGACTTTAGTGATGGGAGTGTTGACGAAGTTGTCATCACGTACATATGAGCTCCAAATCCTCTGGACCAGGCTCGGCCATGATGCCCGGCTGCCTGAGGACACAAACACATAAAACGGATAAATCATGGTGTGGTTTTTGCAAAGGTCGATGTGGTTGTCGTAATCATCAAAAAAAATTATTTTACCATTATATAATTTTTTAAAAGTTCTACATATTTATCAATAACACAGCCTTAAAATAAAAATAAAATATCATAGGTATTGTTTGTAGAACATCGATGGAAGGGTCACTGCCTGAGACATCGCCCCTCAGGAAATATTTTTTTTGGAGTACCATTAAAGTATAGTTGTGAAGATGTGACACTTCATAACAATTGTGGAAATGTTGGAAATTATTACAATGTAATAAACCAGTGTCTGTGGCTGTAATTGACTTGGTGTGGCCATGGTTTTGGTAGCAACAAATTAAAAAGTAACATAATTACCCTTAGACAATACATATTGTCCTTTATTGTGCACAAAACATTCAAATGGTCGATTAATTCAAGATCAAGCTCAATAAACTTGGGAGTTCAAGCCCCAACCCATGACATCGATCATACCCATATGCCTACAAAGGCATTGGCTCAGGAACCTCAGACTTTTCATGACACAATAAACAACATTAACAAAGCAAAGAGCCTTAGTAAACCTGATATACTGTACTATTATAAGCTCATTAAACAAGGTAATGACAATGTATGGCATAACTGCTCACCACCATTCACGATATGTAAGCTTCAGAGTTGTGTCATTGAGACTTGTTACTTGATGGTCAAAAACAGAGGGAGCGGAACACTGGCTGGACCCATCACATTTTTTATGCGGTCCCATTCCCAACAATTTATCTTTCTCTTCATCACTTACAAATCGTGGTGCAAATGAAAAAGCCGTTCAGGTTGGTGTTCTCAAATTAGTTAAAGCTCTCTCGAGTGGCTAATTCACTTTGCTTTAATATTGATGCATGTCAGATAAAACAAACATTTTGTAAGTATAAATCAGTCTTTATTATCATGGGAAAGAGGCGAAAACAATATCGGCATCTGTCACTGCTTCTCTCGTGTGGTAATTTATCCCGACTCAAGTTTGTGACCCCCTGTGATCGTGACCCCGTCAATACAAATGCATCCGTGCAAATGTAAGGTGGGTGTGCGTGAGTGCATTCATTCAAGGCGCAACTACGACAAAATCAGCAGTTTTCGTGGATTTTAAGATTCGTGCGTGCGACTGAAAGCTCCCAAAAATTTAGGAAATTTCTGCAAATTATTTAACGAAACTTACCCATTTATTTAGCATTGTGCCATATTTGGGGTTTTTTTGGGGACTTCACTGCATTTACTAATATCTCAAAAAAGCAACGAATCCCAATGCCCACATCGGCACTTAAACGAGGCTCCACAACTCATTGTGCGCTTAAGCGGAGTTCGCAGCCCTGATCCAGGTACGTGCTTTACCGATGCTCGAATGCTAATGTATGCACTTAAGCGGAGTTCGGCGTGCACCGTGCGCTTAAGCGGAGATCGGATGGCATGGATGCACGTACGCAGAGTTCGGCATGCACTATGCGCTTACGTGACGATATATGCACGAGCTTATGCATGCACTTCAGTGGAGCCTGGCGTGCACTCAATGCGCTAATCGGGAGCTGGTGTTGCACGCCGGCCCTGCGCTAAAGCGGAGCTCCCCCGCGCTCCCCCACGCGCCCCGGGCCGGGACAAGCGATGGCGGGCGGACCCCGCCCGCGCCGCACGGGAGCGGCCCCGTCCGGGCTCCCCGCGGCCCCGCGACCCGCCCGGCCCCCTCCGCCCCGTTCCTGCGGACCCCGCGGGCCCCGCGAGCCGGGTCGCCCCGGGGTCTCGGCCCCGGCGCCGCGCGCACCTGAGGAGCCGCGATCCGCACTCGGATCCCGCCCGGATTTCGCCTCCTCCTGCGGGTCGCCTTCGCCGCGGAGACGCCGCCTCCGATTGGCCGCGCGACGCGCCACGTGACGAGCGCGCGCGCGCCCTCGCTCGCGGGCCAGAGCAAGACGCGGTTCTATTGGTGGAGCCGGTGGGGAGAGGAGGGGAGGGGTTAAAGGGGGAGGGGAGGGGTAAATGGGGGAAGGGAGGGGTTAAAAGGGGAGGGGAGGGGTAAAGGGGGAGGGGGGCGGTGACGTCACCGCTGGGCGGGGGCTGCACAGTCATCAACCACGAGCCGTGGTCTATCCACTGCTGGTTTGGTCAAACAGGCTAATGATGATGATTGATTGAAAGAACAAAACTATAATATAATGTAGGTAACTAAATACAAGCACGGTTGGCTACGTACGGTGCGAAGGAAGTTCTACATAATTGATGAAAAATAAGAATAGGTTTTATCTTCATCATGGGACCTCCTTTGCCAGTTCCAAAATATGATAATAGGTTTTTTCCCCTTTTTTCTGGCAACAAAACAGGTGTTAAGTTGTTAAAACACCAAACTGAAACCTTTTTTTACGAGGAATCATGTCTGCATTAACTACAATACTTGTGGTCAGAATGCAAACATAAAACATACTCTGATAATATATGCATTGTCTTGGTTCTTTCGGTAAAGTCACGTAGAAGGGAAACAATAAAATAATAAATATAAAACAATAAAATTATCACGACGGTTCGACTGCAACACAAGCAATCATCATCAGGTGTGAAAACCACAACAAACACAATCAATCATCATCAGGTGTGAAAACCACAACAAAAACATTTTATTGTTCATCATGACTGCTTGTGTTGCAGTCGAAATGTCGTGATAATTGTATTGTTTTATATTTTTAGTATTTTATTGTTTCCCTTCAACGTGACTTTACCGAAAGAACCAAGAATATGAATTCCTGTTGTCACAAAAGCTTTACATAAAAATATTTGCATTGTTTTTTAAACTGGTCCACACCAGAGCCAGTTTTCTTTTGAGCCTCGTCTCAAGCGATGTTAGACCAGCGCATGCCAAAAGGCGTACAGCTTAAAGACAATTCACTATCAGAGTAATGAGGGCTCGGGGTAAGTATCTACATCATTGGACCTCCTTTTCCAGTACCAAAATATAATAATGCATATATTATCAGAGTGTGTTTTTGTTTGCATTTTGACTGCAAGTATTGTGGTTAATGCAGACATGAATCCTTGTAAAAAAAAAGGTTTTAGTTTTGTTGCCAGAAAAAAGTGGAAAAACCCTATTATTATATTTTGGTACTGGCAAAGGAGGTCCAATGATGTAGATGCTCACCCTGAGCCCTCATTACTTTGATAGTGCATTGTCTTTGAGCTGTACGCCTTTTGGCGTCATCTGGTCTAGCACCTATTGAGACAAGGCTCTAAAGAAAGTTGTCTCTGGTGTGGACCAATCAGTTTCAAGGACAAATGCATACATTATCAGAGTGTGTTTTTGTTTTCATTCTCACTGCAAGTATTGTGGTTAATGCAGACATGAATCCTTGTAAAAAAAAGGTTTCAGTTTTGTTGCCAGAAGAAAGAGGAAAACCTTATTCTTATATGTTGGTACTGGCAAAGGAGGTCCCATGATGCAGTTATCTTTTTTTTATATAAAAATAAATCAACACATTCGTCAATAACACTGTGGCCTTAAAATTAAAACAATATTTGAACGTACACCGGTGCGCTGTATAAAAAAGGCAAATTTTTTGCAATCATTATTTATTTTCCAGCGATTCGCAAACCCGGTCAAAAATATTGCGGGTTGCAACAAAATTAGTTCGTCATGTCGAGGCACTAGGAAGACGAACCTTGATGAGCGGTTGAACACAAAGCTTCAAAGTCTTTTGCCGTATAGCACCCAGGCTGATGACGATTGGCTCCGTGTTCCAAAGACAGATTTGACTCGGGCCCTAGACTTCGTCGGACTGTTCCTCGATGCATTTCCCAATTCATTTCTTGGCGGACGGTGGCATAAAAATATTGAGTGGTGTCACATGTTCGAAAGGCAAAGCAGCTGCTGAATCTAAGGCAACTTCTGATGGAGAGTCTGCTGCTCACTCAAGGGCAACAGAGACATTGTCAGACTTTTTTTGATGAGGACTGGTGTTTTATGCTGCACCGGTGTCCCGCCAATATGTCCATATAGTAGGTGACGTTTTGGGCTATGGTCTTTCCTAGCGCATACATGAAGGGGCACTGCTTGAAACGTCACTTATTTATATTTTCCATTGTAAGGCTACAACTTTATAGACGAATATGTTGAGTTTTTTTCTTAATTCTGCTTGTGCACCACTGCCAACGCAGGAGCAATGCAAAATCATCCTTTTTATAACAGCATCCTAATTGCACCGATATTCAGTGCTTAATTGAATCGTAACTGATTCCAGCTGTCCGGGGCTGAGTTACAGAAAATGTGTCTTGGTGACGGTGGGGTCCGAGGATGTTGGGAGTTGGAGGGCGCCCGCAAAATATTCCATGAGAAATTACGCTCTGCCTGTAATTTCACAAAATTGGTCATATATAAATCTTGACTTAAAGCTTTCGTGACTGCAGGAATTCATACTCTTTGGGTCTTTCGGTAAAGTCACGTAGATAGAAAAATTATAAAATATATAAAAAATCACGATGTTTCAGGGGTCACCAAAGAGATTTCTAAAATCATGAGCAAACACAAGATCCAGGTCCGATTCAACACAGTACATAAAATTTGTGATCTGATCCCATCTGTGAAGGATGTGATCCCTGACATGCAATACCCTGGTGTCTACAAACTAAGCTGTGCCTGCGGCAGTAGTTACATTGGGGAAACTAAGCGACATGTCTCAGACCGTGTTCGCGAACACAAGACGGATCTGAAACACGGTAGGACCAACACCTCTGCCGTGGCCGATCATTGTTTTAACGCTGTGGGCACACGTGAAATTGATTTTTCCAAGACGAAGGTACTATGCAAACCCACTGGCTATCAACAAAGATTTGTTCATAAAGCCATCCAGATATATAAACACAGACACAATTTCAACCAAGAAAATGGGTACAAACTGAGCAGTCATTGGAAGGACGTTATTAACCCGGTAAAGTCATAACTGGCTGTGATGCTTCCATTCTATCTGCCTATGTTAGCAGTTATTTCAGACTCTCTGAGTTACATTACCTTGTTAAATGTCACGTTGAAGGGAAACAATAAAATAATAAATATATATAAAACAATAAAATTCTCACGACGTTTCGACTGTATTGTTTCCCTTCAACGTGACTTTACTGAAAGAATCAAGAATATGAATCACTGCAGTCAGGAAAGCTTTAAATCAAAATTTGTTAAATGTCTTTACATTAACAGGTTAAATGTCTCACTAACATAGCTGCTGCTCCCTTTTCCTCGATGCGGCAGTGGCGCTCGTTGTTTAATAGGCTGAATGTCTGTCTCATTAGCACAGCCGCTGCTGCGGGAGCCGTCTCGCATTGACATGCTAATCTCTAATCTCGAGCAATGCAATGGCTTCTTCAGCACCGTATTCGCGGGGTTACATTAACACATTGACATGCTAATCTCTAGCAATACAATGGCCGATGTATACCTAGCTCTGCGATCTTACATTTACTTGCAAATTCTATCTCTAGCCCCGCCCACTTACCCTTGGGTTGTGCCCATCTTAAACATATATAACCTCTTGCTGTAGAAGCTCTCTCGCTATATTTCCTGCCTCAGCTGTCCGCCTGCTGTATTTTTCATCCCAAGACGATTGCTTGTGTTGCGATCGAAACGTCGTGATTTTTATTTTTCTATCTACGTGACTTTACCGAAAGACCCAAAGAGTATGGTCATATATAGCTTATTCTGAATAATAAAAAGCACAACACTGCGTCGGAAATGCATAAGTGGTTAAAACGATTTATTGAATGACTGAAACGTGTTGATCATGTGCACGAGCAGGACACGTTCGTTACAAAGGGTGTACAGAGCAGAGCGCCTTTTCATCTGACCTGATTTTCGACGTCGCTTTTATTCAAATAAACGGCAGATTGATTTGAATAACATAGTTAATGGAAAACCTGACATCAATCACAGCATTATTTATGTGCTGTGACTATACACCTTGCTCAGTGCTTTTTGGCGTCTCAGATTGCTCTGTGACATCACAAAACGTTATATGCACCGTGATATCGCCAGCTTGCGATCTGCTCTGTGACACCAGAGTATGTTCTGTCCTCTGTGGCATCACAGGATGCTGTCTGTAACATCACAGCATGATTTGTCTGTTCCATCGCAGAGTGCTTCACGCTGAGACATCACATCGTGCTTTGTGCCCTATGACATCGCAGCAAGCTCTGTGCTCTATGACAGCACAGCTTGTGACATCACAGCCAGCTATGTGCTAAGATGCTGTGTGACATCAAAGTGTACCCTGTTGACACAAAGACACGTTACATATGCATGAAATGTAAGTGTTCCGAAAATCTGGAAAAAATATATCCAAAATCGTCCTTAATAATTCCAGAAATGTTAAATCCACAACTCATCGCTATAGTTGAAGCAGTGTACATCATATAGAAAACTCATGACTAGTGGAAAACAGCGGTGAAATTACGATAGCACTGTACGTACATTAAACTTGAAAAGGTGATATAAAAATATAAATGCAAATTCACACTCTAAAAAATACCATTCGCTACGTCAAAGTAATGTCTGCCAGCACATCAGCAATCAAACCAGTTACATCTGATAAAAAAAAAACCTCTGCAAGAATATTTCACTACTTTTGACACCATGCTCCTCTCAAATTAAGGCAGATATGAGATTATAGTTCAGACAACTGATACCAGTATGTGTTTGTGACATTAACAAGTTAACTTACAAATATAGCTCTTATCAAAGTGGACAGCATACGATGAAATGCATTTATGCCTGTTTCTTTTTATCTCAATAGAATCGTCAACAACAGTGTGGTCTTAAAATATATAATAGGCGACGTTTCGGGCAATGGCCCTTCTTCACAGCACATTAAAATGAAGCAGCCCCTGTGTGGCCCCAGAAATGGAATGTAATGCTTTGCCCACTCTTGCATTTTGTTGAAAATCAGACTTGTATACAGTATTTTATTTTATAATCTATTTATTTATATTCAGTGATTTGCTTACCTTTTTTTGTATTGTGCACTGCTATCATTTTTGTATTGTTTGTTGTAACTTTCTTACTCGCCCCTACTGGACATCTGTGAAAAAGAGCTTCATTGCTCGTCGGATTACTCCAGTCTAAATATTATGATTCTGCTTTGCAGAAGGGCCATTAACCAAAACGTCACCTCTTTTATATATATTTGTTTAATTTTAAGGTCACGGTGTTTATGACTAATGTGTGGAGTTTTGTTCTTCATTGTGCTGGTCCACCACTGCCAACGCAGCAGCATTGCCAAATAATTTGTTTTATTATTAACTGTGCACTAATTGTTTTATACAAAAAAATAAACACCAGCCCCACGGTACTATTCTGAAAAGAGCGTGGAAAATATGATGTTCTGAAAGATTTTATCAAAACATTGCTAACCTGCAATGGATTATCTTACCTATATTTTCACATGTTTGGCAGAGATCTGATTACAACTGGGGTTGGTTCTGAGAACACGAATGCTCTGCAGCACCACTTACAACACAAGGACAGCATGGTTCAGCCCTCATGACACAAGTCTGCAGTCGAGTGCAAGCTAGCCTCACTATTTTTTTTAAAACACCACCAAAAATCAATCATATTCAATAGTTTCCCCATTGCTGGTGATAAAGACGTCGACACATTTTTGCCAAAATTCTGGCAAAGCTACCAAATGTCCTGGCCAGTCCCAGTTTTCAGGATGGCTGTCCCAGTGTTCTGAAAATGTTGTGAAAATCAGAATTTTATCCCACTTACAATGTTTTTCATGCATTCATGTTCGACTCCTTGTGTGGGCAAAGGGCGGGAGAGGGGTGGGTGGGGCCAATTAGCAGGAGGAAGACGCCACTCACTACTCTGTGAATGGGGTTTAGGGGTTGAGTGTCCAATCGTGGGCACGGTTGACACGAGTGACTGCAAGCTCACCATGTGTTCCGGTTGAGCCTCCCAGAAATTTGATAGCTTTAAAAAAAAAGTACATTCTTGACAACATACATAGTGAGCCCTTCGTAATTTGTGCTTGGGGACATAGATTCAGATTACTCTAGGCATGGTTGTATATTGGTCATGTGCTCCTCTGGAATCTGAGTTAGGTTCATCATCACATTTCGAGAGTTCTGGTTGAGAGGTCGCGCGGTCAAATGTCAGGGCAGGGTGCAGCCACCCTGGGCGGCCTCGGGATAGAGCTCGCAACTAATTGGCCAGGGTAAGCCGAGGGTTTGCATCGCATCGGCACAGGCTTCCAGCGCCTCGGCGCACACCTCGCGGCACGGGGGCCGCACGCCCTCTCCCGGAACGCAGCCCGGCACCAGCACGGCACACACCAAGAAGCGCAGGTGTGGGTAACACGCCAGCTCCGTCAGCACCTGTAGCCGGCACGCAGCGCAAGCAGCCAGGAGAGTCCACGTCGTGCACATGCAGTCACGCACAGCCCTGATTGCCTGTCTCGGATGAAGATCTTCCCACACTGTGCGAGTCATGGGGGGCTATGTGAACATACTTCACCATGCTGGTCAGTGCGGGTTGGTGAAAGTAGGGAACATAGATGTGGGAGTGTAGTACAGTACGACGATGGATCTTGACGCACTGCCCTCTGCTGCTCACAGCGATGTCCTGTAGCAGCCTTCAACAACCTGTGCTATGGATGGTTATTGCCAAGCCAGGCACTATCCAAGGACAACTCTCCCGAAGGTGATTTGGTCATCGGCCCAATTGAAGTCAAGGTCACACAACGCACACGTGAAGTGTTTGGCTTGGGAGTGGTGCGTTATGACTTCGTGATAAATGTGCTGCCCGTGTTTTGGAGCAGCTTTATTGGCAACAGAAGATCACTGAGCCTGAGGCAACACACACCCTTCGACTGGACTACCAGACAACCGGGCATTGTAAAATGGTCTTGGAGTTAAGCCGCCAAACTTGAACCAACTTGAATCTCAACTTTAATAAGACAATTATTTAACGTGGCTCAGATGTGTGATAGCCCCGTCGCAGCACCAGTTTAGGGGCCTTATCTGGGTTTCCCAGTGCCATTCATCATCATTCATCAACAGCAACCATGATCAAGAAAAAGCACAACTATTACATTAATTGTGTGAAACTTTTCTCGAATTAATTTTTACTATGAATATTTTACAAGTGCGGTAATTTAACTGAGCCAACAGACGTTACAGCAAATGTAACTTAATTTAATATTGACGTGTCTTTGTGCAGTAATTGATTTCTCATGTAAACGCGGTTGTCATTTTTATTTTGCAGCTGGCTGGAATGCTCTTCCTTCCGATATTAGGAAGCCACTGGAGCTATTTACTTTTAAATCATGTATATTACACATTCATTTCTTTACAACTGCTTTTTGTGCTTAGTTGTTCTTCCCCCGCACCTCCGGTTAGCACGGTTGGCTACATACGGTGTGAAAGAAGTTCAACATGCATACATACATTTTGGTTACCCCAGGTCACTCGTGCAAAATGAAACTTATTCTTGTCTCTTGAGTTCTCACTTAGTTAAACAAAACAAACACAACTGAACGCAGTGCTTGTTGTGGCATTCAGCACGGTGAGCACCTTGTAATGCTGCAGCAGGGCATCCGCTGTGTCTTGGTCGGGCAGCGAGAGCAGGACGTTGGGAAACGACGTGAGGTTGTAGCTGAGTCCGCTACACATCTCCACTCGCACACCTTCACACTCCACATCTGTGGCCACCACAGCACGGCACGCCGTTACACCCAGTGGCTCAGCATGCACACTCACTGCGTTGCACGGTGCACACCACCATACACCCCGCAATGCCAAATGTAACACTACTAACCGCCATCACCACCATCATTAGCCGTAATCGGTCCACTGCTGAATGAAGGCCTCCCCGAGTCATGTGGGTTATTTGACCGTACTTCACCACGCTGGTCAGTGTGGATTGGCGAAGGCATGGAGCAGAGACGTGGCAGCTGAAGACGTGGCAGAGAGCACTCCTTTTTGCTTCCTACAACATAGCCCCACAGCAGTCTACAACACTTGCTTTATGCATGGCGGTCGCCCATCAGAATCAGAATCTTTATTTAGACTGGAGGAATCCGATGACCAATGAATCTCGTTTTCACAGATGTTCAGTAATATGTCAACAGATGTCCATCCAATCACTATCCAGGGTCAATGCTGCTTCGCTGCCGAGATTGGGTGTATTCTGTGTGATTCGGTCAGCTATGCCGGTGATGAAATGCGGTTACGTGCTGTCCATGGCATTGTGCTGGTGCTGTCCATGGTAGTGTGTGATGGTATTGTCAATCTTCTTTGGTTCTTTCGGTAAAGTCACGTAGAATGAGAATAAATAATAAATTAATAATGGCCGAAACGTCGTGAGAATTTTATTGTGTTATTTTATTTTATTAATTTATTAATTTATTCTCATTCTACGTGACTTTACCGAAAGAACCAAAGAAGATGAATCCTTGCAGTCACGAAAGCTTTAAATCGGTATTGTCAATGTTAGCGTGTGCTGGTGCTCACCATGCTAGTGTGTCTGTGCTGGTGGTGAGTCCTACCACTGTTGTTGGTTTGTGTGATGTTCAATGCAGTACAGTTTCTCTCATCACTTCCGTCCATGCAGTCAAACCAACCGTCGCACACCCACTCCATGGGAATGCATGCCACTGGGGCAAAGCACTTGAATTCATCCTGCGCACACCCACCTGCACACACACACAAAGACAAACACAGAGATTCCCCGTGTAGCTTACATACGTTATTGGGGAAACTGGTTAGTGAGCACCTATGAAGACTACAAGGGGTGATGTGGCTAGCACCATGCCAAGCTACCTTCGGCTCCCCAGTGCTGACGTTTGCATACCAAACCAGGTTCTCATATAAGGCTGGATTAAACTAGGAGTGGCACATAACCAGTTCAGATATCACCACTGATGTTAGCTTTGGTCAGGAATTGAACTCAGATGGCTGGGTTCATCATGTAGTGTGCAAACTGCTGTGCGACTGCACCACCGCATGCGTAAGTGTAAGTGTGCTTGCATTCGTGTGAGTGTCGCACGCTCTGATTGGTTGACGGCGATGTAGGTTGCCCTGAATCCAGGTGCCGTCGTCTCTTCATCGGACACGAAACTGACCAGCAGCTCGTTACCAGAGGAGATCAGAGGAGGTGGGACATGGGACCCACAAAACCTGCATGCACATTCGCACAAACACGTGGACAGACACACACAGACAAACTCACGAATACAGTGGTATGTACAAAACAAAAAACCTATTACCACATCACCCATAATTCTCCCAATCTCATCAGATTTTGGACTCTAAGCAGGATTGAGTTTGGATAGTGGTTGAATAGGTAATCACCACGCCCGCAGGTGTTATGGTGGAAATCAGGTGGCAATAAAGAGTTCAAAGTTTGAAAGGTTAACAGTGAATTATGTGATAGCCACTTGAAATTAGTGGGTTATGAAATAATTCACTCTTATAAACCAAATAAATAAATGGGTACTCATAAAGTTGTGCTACCTTAGGTGATACAGATTTCTGCTCTGGCCCATGAACACTTTTTCTCGTCCTCTTCCATTCTCTTTAATTTAGCAACTGCCACATTTACTCCACATTTATATCTCTCTCTCCTGGTGTTATCGTCCATCTTTGTTTCGGCTTCCCCGCTGCTCTTCCACCAGCAACTTCAGTTCTCTGCCCGTTCTTCCCAGCGTACTCCTCGCTCATCCGTTACACATGACCAACTTCAAACAAATTATTTTTGTGAAACTACAGTCTCGGCAGTTGTGCACAATCATAAACAACAACTCAACATACTATTTGGGTCTTTCGGTCAAGTCACGTAAATATAAATAATAGATCACGACGTTTCGATCGCAACACAAGCACTCGTCTCACCTGAAGACGATTGTTTGTGTTGCGATCGAAACGTGGTGATCTATTTATTTATATTTACGTGACTTGACCGAAAGACCCAAAGAGTATGAATTCCTGCAGTCACGAAAGCTTTAAATCAACAACCCAACACATTCGTCAATAACAATGTGGCCTTATAAGGAAATATGTATATACATCAAACAACTTTAGCCTGTTTCCTCTAATCCATTACGCTATCGACGCAACCTTCCACTTCTCCTCTGGCAACTTCGTTTCGAATGTGCCCCATGATCATGTGCATGCACACGCACACACCTACCGGCCAATGAGCGTACGTGCGGGTGGTGAATCGAGCACTTCAAGGTGATCGTACAGGCACAGGGGGTGGGGCTCCAGGTTGAACTCCTCCACGTGCAGCTCCACCACCAGGCCCTCGGGCACCACGATACGCCACACGCACACCTGTGCCACGTGCCCCGCGGGCGTGGCCATTCATCGATTAACAATTACAATCATCACGATCGTCACATTTGAAAGGGTATCCCTAGTGGCAGTTCTCCCGGTGGGCACATGGTGACAAGACATTTAAAGACAAGCCACAGTAGTGCGATTGTGGCCACGCCACCCAAACTATGGACCATATATTAAACCTCTGTAGTCTGCGCTCCTTCAATGGAGGAATAGCAAAACTACACAAACTCCTTCCTGAAGCCCTCTCGTTACTGGCAGACCCCGACATTGTCATTGAGCTCCTGAACATATTGCCACCATACGCAAGAATAGAACCTGGCATGCAAATCGGCATTGATCTGCCGGGAGGCGCCGATGTTTGCGATGTATAATTCCAATTGAGTAATACGCAGGTATTTTTTCAGCATTTGGATGTTTGGCCAATACGAGCTACATTGTATGTTTTTCATGGCTATTGTGGGAGGAAACTGGAGAACCCAGAGAATAACCACGCAGACCAGGTGGAGAACACACAAACACCACACAGAAAGGAGCACCGAGTTGGAAATCGAACCTAGGTGATTATTGCTGTGAAGCACATATGTTACCACTGCGCTACCCTGCCGCCCACCGTAATGAAATGAAAGAGACTGGACAAACAACACAAATGAGACAGTGTGGGGAATTCCAGAAAGAGCTCCCCCTCTCTTCTCACCGCGCACATCGTACCCCGTGCGCACGCCACTCACACCCGGCACCTGTAACGGGGGGTATAGCTCTGGGTAGAGAGGCGACGTGATGGTGCCTTCAGAGTCTGTGAGCACCCCTCCACAGCCTGCACACACGGTACGAACCAAGTACACCGTGTGTACGATACACAAACCGCACACCAATACCACATTAGAATATCTGTGGTTGCCGTGGTTGCTGTAAATCGTTGTGGTTGCTGTGGATCACTGTGGTTGCTGCAGATCGTTGTGGTTGCTGTGGATCATTGTGGTTGCTGCAGATCGTTGTGGTTGCCGTGGTTGCTGTGGATCGTTGTGGTTGCTGTGGATCATTGTGGTTGCTGCAGATCGTTGTGGTTGCTGTGGTTGCCGTGGATCGTTGTGGTTGCTGTAGATCGTTGTGGTTGCCGTGGTTGCTGTGGATCGTTGTGGTTGTTGTGACTGCCGTCACCGAGCTGGAAGGTGCCGTTGCAGCTCTCCTCGTCGCTCCTGTCCACGCAGTCCGTGACGCCGTCGCACACGAACTGCGGCAGGAGACAGCGTCCCACGTCGCACGCCCATTCATCCTGCGCGCACTCCACTAGCAGCAGCACAAAGAAAAAGATCCCCCGTATAGCCTTTAACAAACTATTGGTACAAGTGCTATAAGTGAACACCTACCCAGTAAACATGCAACAACTGCCCCAACGTTGCCATGTGGTTTGAACCGTTGGACCAATGTTGTTCCAATGTTGGCCCAACGTTCCGTGTTCACGGGGTTCCTGTCATTCTCGGATCCCTGAAGATGCTGGAAATATTTATATGACAGAATAAAATAAAGGGTAATCGTCGGTGTTTATGGAAACAAAAAGCACGTAAATATATTTTAAATATACCAGTATATTTGAGAGGATGTCCACCAAAGAGACAGAACGATGAAAACAGTTCGTGTACAGGTGCTAGGTGGATTGTTATGATGGCAGTTTGGGGAGGCCTTCATCCAACTGATCATGGATGATGATGATGAAGATGGCAGGTTTTAACCATTTTTTACAATTTGAATCATTAATCATTTTTGAAGACATCATCCAAGTCAAAATGTCTTCCTACATTTAGAACGGTGCTCAAATCTGTTGTGAGCCCTGGACCAGTGGGAGAAATTCCACATTCTTATGGTGGGTGCCAGTTTATTCATATGACAACCACTGCTGACTTTCTCCGGTGGGATGGCACACCGAAAGTCCAACAGACTTTTGTTCATGACAGTTCCCTAATCTTTCCGTGCTTTGCGCATATTGAAACAGTGCCTTCAACATAAACGTGGTGTTTACCTGCCTTGTATACGTGGTGTTTACCTGCCTTGTATACGTGGTGTTTACCTGCCTTGTATACGTGGTGTTTACCTGCATTGTATACGTGGTGTTTACCTGCATTACAACCACACAATCAGAGCACGCCTTGGCCTAAAGTTAATGATATCTACCAGGCTGTCTCAACGCCAGTCTTTGTGACACCCCGGCCGGCTTTCTTTCGTAAACAACCATCTTTTATTGTTCATGCAAATGAAAACCGCTGACTACACTGCATGCACCTGATGATTGGTAATCAGGGAAAGCTGTACCGTGGCGGGGTGAGGTGGGGGTCACGAGAAGTGGAGTTGAGAAACACTCAGAGAGACTGCGCGGTCCAATCAAGGCATCACTGTGCATTATAAAACAAAAGTATAAAATAAGATGTCAAAGTAGAACCCAATCGTGTTCTGGGTAGGAGTGTGATGGTGGCGCATGGTACGTACGGGTGTCCGGGTGGTGTGCGTGGTACGTCACGTTGAACCCTGCCTCCTCCACACTGGAGTCGGAGGTGAACACTGCGAGGAGCGAGTGCGTGTGCGTGTGGAGCGTTGGGGGGGCCCGCCCCCCACACAGCCTGCACGCGCGGCGCACATGGACAAACGACGCGTCACACGCCGCGCGCGACACGACGAGCCTACGGCGCACTAAACCACACGCTGCACAACCATCATCAGCGATGATCGATCCACTGCTGGGTGAAGGCACCCAGCACCCAGCACACGAGCTGATTCCACGACGCGTTTCACTTGAGTTCGCACCACGGCTCAACGACAAAGTTCAAAGGTTTCAGCCAAGGCCCTGCCACTGTCACGTTAAACTGCACCTGTGGAAGAACCCGCGCAGCAGCCAAACCACGGCTGGAGGGGAAGGTGGCACAGCGGCGAGTACTGCACCACACTTCCCAGTTTGACGACCCGAGTGTGATTCCTGGCCACACCAAGCGCCAGGAGTGAGTGATTTATGAAACGGGTTTTGGGTCCCTCACTTGAACATACCTGAAGCTTGGTAACACAACACCACACCCTGGCGACTGACAAGGTATGTGGAGGCCTTCATCCAGCAGTGGATACATAAAGGGATATAAGCTATTATTTTATTTCACAGTACAAACAGTGCAAAATGTATCACGTGGTGTCTGCGTGAGTACCATGCAATGGGTATTTCAGAGTACCTTGTGGCATGCGTGGGCAGTGCGTGAGCACCGTGCGGTGTGAGTGGCGTGCGTGGGCACCGCGTGCCGTGCGTGAGCACCGTGTGATGGGCGTCTGTGTGGCGGCGTCGGTGAGCGTGAGCGCGTCGTGTAGGCACGGCGGAGCCCCCTCCACGGCAAAGCGCCCCGAGAAGCGCAGCGCCACGTGCAGGTGTGCGGGCACCTGCACGCGCCACTCGCAGCGCACCGCGCGCGGGTAGCGCACCCCCTCCGCGTAGCCCGGCGTGTGGAACGATCCGAGCAGGCCCCGCAGCTCGCCTCCGCAAAGCGCTGTGTGCACACCGCACAGTAGCAACGCAACACGCCGAACCACACAGCAGCACACCGCACAGCAGCGTACCGCACCGCACCGCACAGCAGCATACCATGCACAGCTCACCACATGACAGCACACCGCACAGAACACAGCACAGCAGGCATTTAACACGACCAATATGACCAATATCCATAATACAGGTTTTTTTTTGCGGGGTTAGATCGCGTAAATATATAAATGTGTCGTTAAACCCACCACCACCCGACGCAGCCAATTAGTAAGGTTCGTCACGTAAACAGGTGCCAATCCGTTACTAGTACAGCACACCGGTGTGTTGGAGAGCGTATCGCGCGGCCCACATTCCCTCCACACTCGACGACACTCGCGGCAATAATCGCACCCTCAACATCCCCCCAGCTCCCTCCTCACGCGCAGAGCACCCGGGCGGCGCACACTCGCGGTTACGTGCGCAGCTATCGCCGCCGCAACACACCCCGCGCCTCCTATTTGAGCCCTGCTCTCAGGAATTTCTCGATGTTTAAATGCCACTTAAGTGTGCGCACTGCGAGGATTACCCATCTCGTCTGTAGTGGGTAGGGTTTGTAGCAGTGGTTGACATGGGCCCTGCCCAGTAAGCATGACAACGTTGGGTCAACGTTGGCACGTTTATAGGCAGCGGTTGCGCAGCGGTCCACGCGCCGCGCTACGAACTTGGCGACCCGGGGTTCGATTCCCGCTCACGGCCAACACCAGTGACGATTATCTGAACAGGTCATGGGCCCTCCCCTAGGTCGACTCAGCCTTAAATAAGTACCTGGTGCGGTGTGTAAAAACATCGCCACTGGGGAGACAAAGGCCAGCCAGGAGTGGTACTGTCCACTCACCCCTTCGTGTGGCGTGCCGGCCTTCATAGGTGCTCGCTAACAGCACTTGCCCCAACAGTCTGTTAAGGCTACACGGTGGATCTTTGTCAACATTCCCTCTCTCCATGACCTGGAGCTTGGGCCCCTCTGGCACTGTCGGCCCTGGTGCAGTCTCACCTCCTGCACACCCAACGGATTTGCTGCTGGGGTATAGGTAATAGGTGCTTCAATAAAAACCTGTTGGATTAAAAGCCACGTAGGAGTCACACTTGGCCCTAATGCTACATTTCCACGACAATTAAAAATCAGACCCGGGTCGTGCCAGGCCATTCAAATAACTATTTTTGGTGTAGGGTGTAGGGCCTGGTTTCGGCCACCTAAGCATGAACTCAATATTTGTCCGCAGAGTGTATCTTACTTTTGCTGCCGAACAACTGGGCTTAGGGTGACCATGCTCCACACAGTCTGGTTCAGGTCTTGATATTAATACAGTAATTAAGAATGGATAGCTATTTGTAAATCTCCTGCTAGATAGAAGCCTACCTGTGCGTGCAGTGTCAGTCATGGAGATGGATCATATTTTATCACGCTTGGCATTGCAGGTTGGTGGAGGGGGGGAGGTGGCAGGACTGGTTCAGATATCGTTCGCCACTGATGTTAGCCATAGCTATGGTTGCAATCTTTATATTTAACAAAATATGGACAAAGATTTTACACGAATTGTGTTTCACTTCAAAGTCACATGTCCAACAACGGCCTCAAATCACACACGCTATTTAAAGAGTCAAACTACGAACCATTTTGCCTGTAAGATCAGCAGTTCACCGTTATTGATTCAAGCAAGCCTGACTGCTCATGAGACACGGTGTGTTGAAACGGGTTCAGTGTTGCTTGTCCTGCATCAATGCTGCTGAAAGGTTGTCTGGCTGATGGGTTGTGAAATACTTTTATTTGATTTACGTGGAGAGACGGACATATCAAGGAGACGTATCTGGTTATTTGATTTATATTCACCACAACGGCGCTAAATGATTATTTTGAGTTATTTAAAAAGTCAGGGTTGCAAGGTTCGTAGTTTAGTATGCGACCACCGCACCACCGCTCCACGGATACGCACACGGAGAGTTGAATGTCAACCATTTAGCTCGGATAGACTGCTGTGGAGAGTTGAGTTACTTTTTAGCGAGCACCTTTGCACACACACACGCACGCGAGTGCGTGCGCGTACACAGGGCCCACTGTTGAGAACTGTTTCCACGACACTCACGGCACTCCAGTGCCCACCGGGCCCTCAGCCTCGCGAGCCGGTCTCTTACGGCCGAGCGGGAAAGCAGAAGGGGCTCTCGATGTCGGCGAGAACGGGGGGGGGGGGGGGGGCGCTTTTGAAAATGCAGATGGTGGGAGCCACTTGTGCAGGCAAACCTCGGCACTTGCCGAGGGATTTACCAAATCTGTTTCACAGCTGGGCAAACTTCAGGCCTCACGGCTCCTCACCCCTAGACACAAAACTCTGTCGGACTAATCAAACGAGGGCGTTTCAAATTTAACCTGAATTATTAGTTTGAGAAACTTGACAGTAAAAAGGGGTGGACGAAATGTACCCTATTTTTTTTTAGGTGAAACTTCATTATCTGGTGATGCTGCTGCTGCTGCTGCGATTTATGTACCCCCCTTTTACGTCGTTTCGCAAATACGTCGTCACTTTATTAATACGACTCCTTATTTGTGTCGCCTCAACCCACACTTACGTCGCTGATGGCATCCGTCCTTCCTGGAATCCGTCGCCTCTCAGCCATCGCCTCCACCCACTACCCTGTAAATCGCTTTGATTTACATCCTTTATATATTCGTCGCCGCACCTGTCAAGAACGCATCCCCCAACGTACGCCGGGGTATCACTCTCCATATTTCCGACAGGTGAGAACTCAGCAACGGCTGCATCGTCAAAAGTGGTGGCTCAAACCGCCGTTGTGTGGCCACAAACCACGGCCACGGCTAACATCGGTGGCACGGACGCACCTGGATGGGGAGGGACGGGCGTGGGCCCCGGGAGAGGCGTCGACGCGGTGGTGGTGCCGGCTGTCACCTGCGAGTCTGAGCACACGCACGCACGTCGTGGAGAGTGCGCGCACGCCAAGGCCGTAATTATAATATATATTATAATATATTATAATAATATATATTATATATATGGGGGGGACACATCCCGCCCAATATTAAATTATGCTCAAAATGTCCCCCCAATATATTGCTATAAAATGGATTTATGTTTATATGATTGTGGTTATGGTTGTACTTTATTAATCCCTAATCTCTGCCATTACATACAATGAAACAAGAAAATGTAAAAAAGAAAAAACAGAGCAATGTAATACAATACACTATTAGACATTATTGTAAATAAATAAATAAAAGCCCATCCTATGTGTTAGTGATTTTTTATATTTTAGGCAGGATATGGCAAGAAAGTATTTTCAAATTTAGATTTTTTTCTGGGGGGGGGACCCCCAGACCCCCTGAAAGATTTGCCCCCCCCAATGTTGACTCCATGGTTACGGCCACGCACGCATCACTCGACTGCGTGCATCTCTTTGTGGCTCACTCAACGCACAAAGCACGTGTACAGAGAGCACTCGGCCTTTGCGCATTACAAAAAAACACATCAGCTGTTTCTGATTAATTACATTGTGGTCCTCTTGTCTTCGGTCACCATGATGGGGTTTCTCGTCATTGACAAATATAATTCACGTGTTGCTGCGATCCAATTAAGGTCGGCAATTAACTCTTGAGTTGAGTTAAGGTGCAGCAGTTCACGCACCACAATACGAACCCGACCATCTAAATTCAATTCCCAGCAATGCCTGTTTGCTTATCCTGTATTATTTTTTGCATGGGCACAATTTAACAGTCCGGCTACGAAAGTGAGCAAAGTCTCCTCTGTCTTCACGCATTGCGGGAAAGCGAGAATGAGCAGGTGGAACAAGCAGGAGAGAAAAAACAAGGTGGGGGGCCGTGAGTAGGAGCAGTGAAACCAAACGAGTAGAGACCACGGAGAGGGAAGAGGAGGAGAGAGAGAGAGAGAGAAGAGAATCACATAGAACAGGAGGAGTTTGAGGCATGGGCAAGAGATTGTTGAGGTAGGAAACAGCGCAAAGTAAGAGGAGGAGGTTTAAAGAGGAGGCTACGAGTAGACTTACAAAATGAGCAGAGACGAGTGACAGGTGGAAAGGGGAAGGAGATGAAGGCATGAAGATCGGGGGGAGATCGGCCATTGCTATAAAGATGGGCCATTGCCCAAAACGTCATCTATTACATACTTTTCCTTTTAAGGCCACAGTGTTATTGACGAATTTGTTGAGTTTTTTTGTTACGTTTCCTTGTGCACCACTGCTAACGCAGGAGTAACATAATCTTATCTTATATGAACGTTATTTATATAGCGCCTTAACCAGGGCGCTTTACAGATAATTAAGAACGGTACATATGAATGTAATGGTGGAGATGAGGTGGATAAAACAGATGAGAGGAAGCAACGGGCACATCTGTGATGCGTGAATTCGGTGAAAGCGAAATTGATGACAGTGAATGGTGATGAATGGATTGAATGAATTTTGGGAATGAGAATATGAAGAGGGAACAGGAATGGTGGTAGTAATGAGGGGGGGATTAAAGGGGTTGTGGGGTGAGCTAGGGAAAATAAGTGAATTTTGAGTGAGGAACGGAAACTAGTGAGCGAAGGTGACTGTTCAATGTGATCTGGGTAATTAAGGAGGGGGGGGGGGGGGTGCATCATGACTTTACCGGTGCTCGTTGCGTCTGTGCGCTGCTCTTTACTGGGATGGAGAGAAGGAAGATGCAAAGAGGTGGCAGCACAAAGATGTAAGGGTGCCTGCGGGGGGGGGGGGGGGGGGGGGGGAGTTTGAAGAGAGGTCCATAGAGAAGGTGGTGCAGCGTTGAGGAGCCAGGGGGAAGCAGCAGAAAGACAGCTGTTGAGGATTTCGCTGAAGCAGCGGAAGGTGAGCGACAGCACCTGGGCTTGGTGCGTTCGTGGCGTTGTTCCACGGCCGAGACGACTGGGACACTGTGTTTCACACCGCACACACATTCACACGTGAGCATTGGACACACATTCACTTCCTTATTTACTTTTTACTTAATGACTTTTTTGTCCAGGAAAGCCACAATGAGTGGGAGGACTTCTTTTCTGGAGGGTCCAGCATTGGCTTTTTTATTTTATGATGTTTCCTGCCGAATAATGATGAGAGTATATACACGTGGGAGGAAACAAGAGCTTCCAGAGAAAACACACGTGCGTGAGTGAGCAACACTCCATCCCCGCACAGATGGAAACAGATGGCTATTAGCCCACTTGCATTGCTGCCTTCTCTTGGCGAGCCAGAGTATGGCACCTTGACGCCCACGGGAAGGGAGCTTTGCAACATTTGTGCGATCCACCAACCCTAGTTAGCTCCACAGTGCTGGACTACAGGCAGCCAAGTGCATAGCCAGCACCACACCCGGCTTATGTCGATGCACTGCCTACCACTGCAAATGCCATGCCGGTGCACGCACGTGCAAGTAGATGCCAATGCACATTGTCATCTTGCTTTTTAAAATATTTTTTTCTCCAAACTTGATCCCAATTTGGCTGTTGACGTCACATCATGTGACGCTGGCAGAGGAGTGCAACCCCTCATATTAGAGAACGGTCCCCAGAAGCAGATATCACAGAACTACTTCTGAAATCCATACAAGTGACCTCTGTTCCACACTATAGAGGGCAGCGCCTTCCCACTCGGCCTGCTAACAATTCACGTTCCTCACATGATAACCAAATTTATGTTTTTTTTTATTATCAGAGCTGAAATTTAGCCTGATTAGGTACAAAACCAAATGCAATATGACGGGTTTTCATGCAATCATTGGTTGAGACCTTCAAGTCACTAGAATTGAGAACTCCAGTTCACTGGAGAGCCCCTCGTGTTGGTGCTCACCAAATGGCACTTTCCCCAACAGTCCGTGAAAGTCTACGCAGGGAGGGTTCTTTGTGATGGGAAATATTATAGAGGGGTGGACTCACGGAGGGTGTGGGTGGTGTTGGGGTGTGCTGTGAGTGGTGGTGTGGCTGTGTTGAGGATGCTATGGAGGGGTGGACTCACGGTGGGTGTGGGTGGTGTTGGGGTGAGCTGTGAGTGGTGGTGTGCCTGTGTTGAGGATGCTATGGAAGGGGTGGACTCACGGTGGGTGTGGGTGGTGTTGGGGTGTGCTGTGAGTGGTGGTGTGCCTGTGTTGAGGATGCTATGGAAGGGGTGGACTCACGGTGGGTGTGAGTGGTGTTGGGGTGTGCTGGGAGCGGTGGTGTGGCTGTGTTGAGTATGCTATGGAAGGGGTGGACTAACGGAGGGTGTGAGTGGTGATCGCTGCTGCTGATGCAAGAGCAGCGGCTCCCAGCACAAACGCCACTCCCTGCAGCAGCCTGCGCACGCTCCACACGCCGCTCCACACGCTGTGCCGCACGCCTGCACGCACACAGATAAAGATCCCCCGTATAGCCTTTAACAGTTAAGGCAAGTACTGTACTGTTAGCGAGCAGCTATGGAGGGGGTGGGTGCCCTATACCACGCCCGGCCGCCTTTGTCTCACCAGTGCTGATATGTACACAGCAAAATAGGTACTACACATATAGACTGCATCCCACACACACCACCGTCCCGCACTTAAGCATTGCATTGATGCTTGAGTACAAACCCCATATTTGTGTTAGAGGTCATGTTCTTCTCTTTGTTGGTTACATCATACAATACCTCAGAGTTACATCACAAAATCAGCACGCGCTCTATCTAAACCTTTAACAACGTTCCTGTTCATTCTGTTCACTATCAAGGATTCGCAATGGATGTAATAAAAAGTAAAGAATCAGCACAGCAGAAGACACCTTAGTTTGAAACAATCATAAAATGGAATGTTTCTTCCAAATAGTTCCGCATCACTGAGCGCTAATTAATATTTTCAGATAATATTCACCAAAATTCGGATCGTCTCATGTGAACAATTTAACGTGTTCAGCAATTCTATGACTTCGTGTTTCTTAGCCAATGTGCCTCACAGCTCGGCGGCCCTCGATGCCTCTCGGAGTCGAGAGCGTGCGGCCCGCGGACGCGCGAGGCCCTGCCACTTACAAATAGCCCACAAACCTTTTTATTATCCATCACTGCGAGCTTCTTCGCCGCGCTGGATCGGGTTTTAGAAGGGCATGTGTTCAACTCGGCAACCCTGCGTCTTTAAATCTCGTGCGCTCGGTTACTTTCTGCCACTGCAAGCAAGGGTCTTCTTGGGGCGCCGTGGTGGTGAGATGTAAACTCCCTCGACTGTTATGGAGGTCTTGGTTTCGATCCTGACCCTGACGCCTGTTGTATATGTACAGATTGCATGTTCTCCCCGTGGTCACGTGGATTTTTCTCTGGGTCCTCCGGTTTTTCCCTCCACATTTAGACTCAACATTCGTTTAGGGTATTTGTCTGATATACATTTTTACACGATAAGCCCACTTCGTTGAGCTATCAGTTGTAATGACCAGGTCGCTTCTGAAAAAATTGCAATATAGCTCTTGCAGAGAAAGGAGCGAGTAAACAACGGTTGTCATATTGAGTTAAATGTTCTATTTGGTCAAATGTTCCATTCAGCCAATCATAACTCAGTGCAGGCACGGTATATATTGCTTGAGATGCAGAGTTGTGAAAAACACGATTGAATGCTTGGTATGTTAATAAAGGGATCGCTCTACGTGATGGGTCCTCATCAGTGCTAGAGTGAGTTGTCTTACCTGGAGTGGCATCAGGTGTCTCGTTATCTCCCTCAGTCGGACTGGGTTCGAATGCAGGATTGCAGAAATCTGTCTTCTCGTCACACCACATGCACGCAGGATCACACCACGAATTATTTGCTGCCAACGACAAAGGTCTCCCCACGTAGCTTGCGACGGGCCACTGGGATGACTGCTGTTGGTGAGAACCTGTTAATGCCGGTACCAGGGAATGAGGGGATAGTGAGGTCAGAACCAGGACTTGAGGGGATAGTGAGGTCAGAACCAGGGCTTGAGGGGATAGTGAGGCTAGAACCAGGGAACGAGGGGATAGTGAGGTCAGAACTAGGGCATGAGGGGATAGTGAGGTCAAAACCAGGGCTTGAGGGGATAGTGAAGTCAGAACCAGGGAATGAGGGGATAGTGAGGCCAGAACCAGGGAATGAGGGGATAGTGAGGTCAGAACCAGGGAATGAGGGGATAGTGAGGCCAGAACCAGGGAATGAGGGGATAGTGAGGTCAGAACCAGGGAATGAGGGGATAGTGAGGCCAGAACCAGGTCTTGAGGGGATAGTGAGGTCTGAACCAGGGAATGAGGGGATAGTGAGGCCAGAACCAGGGCATGAGGGGATAGTGAGGTCAGAACCAGGGAATGAGGAGATAGTGAGGTCAGAACCAGGGCTTGAGGGGATAGTGAGGTCAGAACCAGGGAATGAGGGGATAGTGAGGTCAGAGCCAGGGCATGAGGGGATAGTGAGGTCAGAACCAGGGCTTGAGGGGATAGTGAGGTCAGAACCAGGGCTTGAGGGGATAGTGAGGTCAGAACCAGGACTTGAGGGGATAGTGAGGTCAGAACCAGGGCTTGAGGGGATAGTGAGGTCAGAGCCAGGGCTTGAAGGGATAGTGAGGTCAGAACCAGGGAATGAGGGGATAGTGAGGCCAGAACCAGGGAATGAGGGGATAGTGAGGTCAGAACCAGGGAATGAGGGGATAGTGAGGTCAGAGCCAGGGCTTGAGAGGATAGTGAGGCCAGAACCAGGGAACGAGGGGATAGTGAGGCCAGAGCCAGGGCTTGAGGGGATAGTGAGGTCAGAACCAGGGAATGAGGGGATAGTGAGGCCAGAACCAGGGCATGAGGGGATAGTGAGGTCAGAGCCAGGGCATGAGGGGATAGTGAGGTCAGAACCAGGGCATGAGGGGATAGTGAGGTCAGAGCCAGGGCTTGAAGGGATAGTGAGGCCAGAGCCAGGACATGAGGGGATAGTGAGGTCAGAGCCAGGGCATGAGGGGATAGTGAGGTCAGAGCCAGGGCTTGAGGGGATAGTGAGGTCAGAGCCAGGGAACGAGGGGATAGTGAGGTCAGAGCCAGGGCATGAGGGGATAGTGAGGTCAGAGCCAGGGAACGAGGGGATAGTGAGGTCAGAGCCAGGGCATGAGGGGATAGTGAGGTCAGAACCAGGGCTTGCCACCCTCCTTTCTCTCCACAGTGCTGGCCTTAAAACACCACAATTGGTACGTATTCGTGGCTGAGTTGACTTAGGGGAAGTCCAAGGTAGGTTCAGGTATCACACCATCTCCACAGTTTTAATGGTGGTGGTCGTGGTAAATATTTGTGGTGGTGTACGTGGTGGTGAGTATATTAATCGTGAGGTTGGCGTTGATATTTGCGTTGGTATTTAAATCCCCTGTCTGCTCTGTCTTACTGTCTTATTGCAGTTTCTGACTGGCTCGCAGCAAATTTTCTTGAACTAAATAACGTTTAAACTGAAATTCACTAAGTTGGGGAAAATGTATTACCTTACAACAATCTACTGTCCATCTGCTTGACCCTGATCTCTATATTCGTCAACAGGCACGAAATCTGGGGTTTCATTCTTGACTCTAACCTCTCCTTTTCTTCTCACATTTCCTATATGTGCAAGACCAATTACTTTCATCTTCGCAACATTCCTCGTATCCGCAACTGTCTCTCCGATATGGCTGCAGAAACAATAATACATGCATTTGTAACTTCCAGGCTAGACTGCTGCCATTCTCTGTTATTTGGCCTTCCTTTGCCTCTCTTGCAACGTGTGCAGTATGTTCAAAACACAGCTGCAAGAGTACTCACTCATCATACTCGTAAACGTCAACATATACACCCATGTTACGAACCCTCCACTGGCTACCTATTCAGTCCAGAATCACCTGAAAGATTGCAAAATTCTTCACGTGCTGGCCCCTGCCTATCTTTCTCCTCCGATTTCAGTTTACTCCCCTCTCCAGGTTCTCCGTTCATCTTCTCTAGCTAGGCATGCTCTCCACCACACAAAAAAACGTAAAACCATTGGTGGATGAGCTTTCTCATGCGCAACCCCTAAAGTCTGGGATATCCTCCCACTCTCACAAATCAACTTTATCATATTATTACAATCTGAACTAAAGACATGTTTATTCATCCAGGCATACGCTGAAAACTAGGTGATCACATTTAGGACATTTGACCAATTGGTCTAAATTAGTCAGAACTTTTTGGCACTCCACTACCCCTCCTGTGAAGGCTTCCTGGCTTGGTTGGGAAGTTGGGATTATGGTCTGAGATGTGACCTAAAGGATTCATTTATTTGTTGTGATACATTTTTGGTTGCTTTTGCTCTTGTTTTTAGTGCCATTTCTTTATTTGTTTATTCATTTTTTTATTTTGCTTGGTAGCAGGGTTTTCATTTGTTTGGCAGTGGCTGTATATGTGATTTGATCCTCATATATAATGAATGTCCAGCTTTATAGTATGCTATTCGCATGAATGACGCGATCTAAAACTAAATTATTATTATTTAATTTTCCATGTGTGCATCCTCATCATCTGCATCTGCAATGAAGCGTCTGTGAGTTCAATCAACGCAACTGTGAGCAGGCCCGTTCACTCGTAAATGCCCCGAACCCCGGAATGTCCTCCCACCTCTACCTCCGGAATGTTCTTCCACCGGTTCACCCGAGAATGTCTTCGTTTATCCCTGGTTTTTAAATCCAGAACTAAGACGAATTTAATAAGGCTTTCCGATGGGCCCAACTTATTTGTGATCATATGACTTGATGTTGATACTGTATTTCAGTCGGTTTCATGTAACAAGACTTAATCTTTCTAACGTTTTAGACGGTATATATCAATAATTCATCAGGTGAACACGCTCTTGGGAGGATGCAATTACCTCCAATTGTGATTGTTTTTTTTACACTCACGTAAAAGTAATTTGTTTTATGTTGTAAGCTTTTACGTGGATTACAAAGGTATGCATATAATTAAACCAGTAAAAGTGGCGTAAAGACAAATTACAGTACCACGTCATCGTTAATAATTCAGTTAATTTGAGGTCAACCTCATAAGCTGGAAACAAATAAAAAACAGTGTAAAGTAATATTCCAACAGATGTAAATATAAAACAACCCATAATATGGTTAAGCCTGGCATGCCAACACTTGTATATTGACCTGAGAGGAAAACAAAACTATGATACTGTAATGAGATTAAATAAGTGATGCACAGTAGTTGCCTAATTGTATAATGTATAGCCCCCTCAATCCACTGCTGGATGAAGGTTCTCCCAATGCTGTGTCGGTCATGAAAGTTGTTTGACCATACTTCACCAATATGGTCAACGCACATTGGTGAAGTGGTTAGGGGGAAGGACCAGGACTGGTTCAAAGGTCACTCCGACACTGGTGTTTGCCATACCCTCGAATCGAACTGATGTGACCATGTGCTATGAAGAAGGGCCATTTGCCCGAAACCTCGCTCTTTACGTCTATATTTTTTCCACTTTATAAGGCAGTGTTATTGACGAATGTGTTGAGTTTTATTGTGGCTGGATACACAGTGGAGTGCGTTAATAACTGGGCCACCACTCTACCTCTCAGCATGGTGTAAATGGCGTGACGCGAGACGTGGCGGCGCGCGATAGAGTGCGGTGAGCGAAGCGTGACGTGCGGAACACGTGAGGTGTGTATGTGTGTGTGTGCAGGTGCTCGCTAACAGCACTTTCCCCAACAGTCTGTTCATCCGGCCACCCGAGTTCGATTCCCGCTCATAGCCAACACCAGTGAATATCTAAAACTGCGCCTCCCCTAAGTCGACTCATCGCCACTGGGGAGACAAAGGCGGCCGGGCGTGGTGCTGGCCACCCACCCCCTCGTGTGCCGAACCGACCTTCATAGGAGCTCGCTAACAGCACTTGCCGCAACAGTCTGTTAAGGCTATACCTCCGATTAGCACGGTTGACTACGTACGGTGCGAAAGAAGTTCAACATTCATACGGGGGCTCTTTATCTTTGTTTTGTGCAGAGTGTGGGCCAGGATTTGGAGGTGTATGATGTGTGCTTTGAGGCGTGTATACATTTTTTTATTTTGCTGATGTCAAAATCAGTGCAGCGTTTTTATTTATAGTGAATCAATGCTGATAAATGTATGTACGCCCAGAACGCCCTAGGGCTTTTGGATTGTGTAAAATATACTTTTATGTGGAGAGACGGATTTCTCAAGCGGACATTGATTGTGTATTTTTTCAATATATACATTTCCACAACGACGCTCATGATTATTTGATGTGACTTTTTTTTTAAACACAATAGCTGAGCACATGCTTTAAACACAATAGCTGAGCACATGCTTTAAACACAATAGCTGAGCACATGCCTAAAGGGCCCTAAAACTTCAAGCGGCCAGTAAAAAAACCAGCACAATCTAAGTTGAAATCTGCAAGAGTTATCAACACGTTACCAAAATTGAACAACAGTTAAAAGGACTACGGACTATATAGTAAACCAGAGTAGTCGACGCTCCTTCAACAGAGGGGGAACAGCAGAACTACACCAACTTTCTCCTGAAGCCCTCTCGTGGCTTGCAAACGTCGACTTTGGCATTTGTATCCTGAACATATTGCTGCCATGATACGCAATAATAGAATAAGATATTGGCAAAAGAGACGTGTTGGTTAGTGTAGCTGTGCTGTCATCCGAAGCGTGCTGACCCTTGCTTATCTCGTCAAGAAACATAAACCATCATGCGAACTCTGGGTATCCTCGCACCGTTGAACTAAGACGGTCATCGCATCGCGTCGCGCTTTCAGATGCGCTTCTGCGGCCGTCTGGAACGCTCTTTCTTTCGATATTAGGAAGTCACTGGAGCTATGCACCTTTTGATCTAGATTGAAAGCTCATTTCTTTATAACTGCTTTTTGTGTTTAGTCTGTTGTCCTTCCCCCCCGCACCTCCGATTAGCGCGGTTGGCTACGTACGGTGCAAAATTAGTTCAACATACAGTGCGTGCAAATGTGTACGGGGTTGTGCGTGGTATTTGTTTGGAGTCTGCGATGTGGAGATTTTAAACTGGGGGTTGTCAATGCTGCTGAGAGGAGGAAGACAAGCAGTATGTGAGCTCTGGCTCTGGAGAAGACCGTTACGTAGTGTCCAGTGGACAGCAAAGAAAAACCCATGAAAGTAACTGCACAATATTGGTGACATTACGGCCACATCGTACACCGTAATAAGAGAGATGGAAACGAGGTTATGTTGGACACATAGCTGGGAAAGTCATGGGGAAAACCTGGAGAAACTGTCGATGTCTGGTATAAGTTGAAGGAAAAAATTAACAGAGGTTCACGGAGACTCCGATGGACCAAAATTGTTGTAAATGTCACCTGGAGGACAGGAAACCGTGGTGATGGCAAAGCCAAAACTCACAGAGGGGCCCAGTCGCTTCATCACCGAGGTCATAGATCCACGCAGATGAGTAGATAGAGAGAAGTGGAGGTTCACGCGGGGTGTGATGTGTGTGAGGTGAGTGATGTGTGTGAGGTGAGTGATGTGTGTGAGGTGTCTGATGTGTGTGAGGTGAGTGATGTGTGTGAGGTGATTGATGTGTGTGAGGTGAGTGATGTGTGTGAGGTGAGTGATGTGTGTGAGGTGAGTGATGTGTGTGAGGTGTGTGAGGTGAGTGATGTGTGTGAGGTGTGTGAGGTGAGTGATGTGTGTGAGGTGATTGATGTGTGTGAGGTGTGTGAGGTGTGTGAGGTGAGTGATGTGTGTGAGGTGAGTGATGTGTGTGAGGTGTGTGATGTGTGTGAGGTGTGTGAGGTGTGTGAGGTGAGTGAGGTGTGTGAGGTGAGTGATGTGTGTGAGGTGAGTGATGTGTGAGAGGTGTGTGATGTGTGTGAGGTGAGTGATGTGTGTGAGGTGAGTGATGTGTGTGAGGTGTGTGAGGTGAGTGATGTGTGTGAGGTGAGTGATGTGTGTGAGGTGAGTGATGTGTGTGAGGTGTGTGAGGTGAGTGAGGTGTGTGAGGTGAGTGAGGTGTGTGAGGTGTGTGATGTGTGTGAGGTGAGTGATGTGTGTGAGGTGAGTGATGTGTGTGAGGTGTGTGAGGTGAGTGATGTGTGTGAGGTGTGTGAGGTGAGTGAGGTGTGTGAGGTGAGTGATGTGTGTGAGGTGAGTGAGGTGTGTGAGGTGAGTGATGTGTGTGAGGTGAGTGATGTGTGTGAGGAGAGTGATGTGAGTGAGGCCAGTGATGTGTGTGAGGTGAGTGATGTGTGTGATGTGTGTGTGGTGAGTGATGTGAGTGATGTGTGTGAGGTGAGCAATGTGTGTGAGGTGAGTGATGTGTGTAAGGTCAGTGAGGTGAGTGATGTGTGTGAGGTGAGTGATGTGTGTGAGGTGTGTGATGTGTGTGAGGTGTGTGAGGTGTGTGAGGTGAGTGAGGTGTGTGAGGTGAGTGATGTGTGTGAGGTGAGTGATGTGTGAGAGGTGTGTGATGTGTGTGAGGTGAGTGATGTGTGTGAGGTGAGTGATGTGTGTGAGGTGTGTGAGGTGAGTGATGTGTGTGAGGTGAGTGATGTGTGTGAGGTGAGTGATGTGTGTGAGGTGTGTGAGGTGAGTGAGGTGTGTGAGGTGAGTGAGGTGTGTGAGGTGTGTGATGTGTGTGAGGTGAGTGATGTGTGTGAGGTGAGTGATGTGTGTGAGGTGTGTGAGGTGAGTGATGTGTGTGAGGTGTGTGAGGTGAGTGAGGTGTGTGAGGTGAGTGATGTGTGTGAGGTGAGTGAGGTGTGTGAGGTGAGTGATGTGTGTGAGGTGAGTGATGTGTGTGAGGAGAGTGATGTGAGTGAGGCCAGTGATGTGTGTGAGGTGAGTGATGTGTGTGATGTGTGTGTGGTGAGTGATGTGAGTGATGTGTGTGAGGTGAGCAATGTGTGTGAGGTGAGTGATGTGTGTAAGGTCAGTGAGGTGAGTGATGTGTGTGAGGCGAGGGGTATGATGTGAGGTGAGTGAGGTGTGTGAGGTCAGTGATGTGTGTGAGGTGAGTGAGGTGTGTGAGGTGAGTGATGTGTGTGAGGTGAGTGATGTGTGTGAGGAGAGTGATGTGAGTGAGGCCAGTGATGTGTGTGAGGTGAGTGATGTGTGTGATGTGTGTGTGGTGAGTGATGTGAGTGATGTGTGTGAGGTGAGCAATGTGTGTGAGGTGAGTGATGTGTGTGAGGTCAGTGAGGTGAGTGATGTGTGTGAGGCGAGGGGTATGATGTGAGGTGAGTGATGTGTGTGAGGTGAGTGATGTGTGTGACGTGAGTGATGTGTGTGATGTGTTTGTGGTGAGTGATGTGAGTGATGTGTGTGAGGTGAGCAATGTGAGTGAGGTGTGTGATGCGTGTGAGGTCAGTGAGGTGAGTGATGTGTGTGAGGTGAGTGAGGTGTGTGAGGTGAGTGATGTGTGTGAGGTGAGTGATGTGTGTGAGGTGTGTGAGGTGAGTGATGTGTGTGAGGTGAGTGATGTGTGTGAGGTGAGTGATGTGTGTGAGGTGAGTGATGTGTGTGAGGTGAGTGATGTGTGTGAGGTGAGTGATGTGTGTGAGGTGAGTGATGTGTGTGAGGTGTGTGAGGTGTGTAAGGTGAGTGATGTGTGTGAGGTGATTGATGTGTGTGAGGTGTGTGAGGTGTGTGAGGTGAGTGATGTGTGTGAGGTGAGTGATGTGTGTGAGGTGTGTGAGGTGTGTGAGGTGAGTGAGGTGTGTGAGGTTAGTGATGTGTGTGAGGTGAGTGATGTGTGTGAGGTGTGTGAGGTGTGTGAGGTGAGTGATGTGTGTGAGGTGAGTGATGTGTGTGAGGTGTGTGAGGTGAGTGATGTGTGTGAGGTGAGTGATGTGTGTGAGGTGTGTGAGGTGTGTGAGGTGATTGATGCGTGTGAGGTGAGTGATGTGTGTGAGGTGAGTGATGTGTGTGAGGTGAGTGATGTGTGTGAGGTGTGTGAGGTGAGTGATGTGTGTGAGGTGAGTGATGTGTGTGAGGTGAGTGAGGTGTGTGAGGTGAGTGATGTGTGTGAGGTGTGTAAGATGAGTGATGTGTGTGAGGTGAGTGATGTGTGTGAGGTGAGTGAGGTGTGTGAGGTGAGTGAGGTGTGTGAGGTGAGTGATGTGTGTGAGGTGAGTGATGTGTGTGAGGTGAGTGATGTGTGTGAGGTGAGTGAGGTGAGTGAGGTGTGTGAGGTGAGTGATGTGTGTGAGGTGAGTGAGGTGAGTGAGGTGAGTGATGTGCGTGAGGTGAGTGATGTGTGTGAGGTGAGTGAGGTGAGTGATGTGCGTGAGGTGAGTGATGTGTGTGAGGTGTGTGAGGTGAGTGATGTGTGTGAGGTGAGTGAGGTGAGTGAGGTGAGTGATGTGCGTGAGGTGAGTGATGTGTGTGAGGTGAGTGAGGTGAGTGATGTGCGTGAGGTGAGTGATGTGTGTGATGTGTGTGAGGTGAGTGATGTGTGTGAGGTGAGTGAGGTGTGTGAGGTGAGTGATGTGTGTGAGGTGAGTGATGTGTGTGAGGTGAGTGATGTGTGTGAGGTGAGTGATGTGTGTGATGTGTGTGAGGTGTGTAAGGTGAGTGATGTGTGTGAGGTGAGTGATGTGTGTGATGTGTGTGAGGTGAGTGAGGTGTGTGAGGTGAGTGATGTGTGTGAGGTGAGTGATGTGAGTGAGGTGAGTGATGTGTGTGAGGTGAGTGATGTGTGTGAGGTGAGTGATGTGTGTGAGGTGAGTGATGTGTGTGAGGTGAGTGAGGTGTGTGAGGTGAGTGATGTGTGTGAGGTGAGTGATGTTTGTGAGGTGAGTGAGGTGTGTGAGGTGAGTGATGTGTGTGATGTGTGTGAGGTGAGTGATGTGTGTGATGTGTGTGAGGTGTGTGATATGTGTGAGGTGAGTGATGTGTGTGATGTGTGTGAGGTGAGTGATGTGTGTGAGGGGAGTGATGTGTGTGAGGTGAGTGATGTGTGTGAGGTGAGTGATGTGTGTGAGGTGAGTGATGTGTGTAAGGTGAGTGATGTGTATGATGTGTGTGAGGTGAGTGACGTGTGTGAGGTGAGTGATGTGTGTGAGGTGAGTGAGGTGTGTGAGGTGAGTGATGTGTGTGAGGTGAGTTAGGTGTGTGAGGTGAGTGATGTGTGTGAGGTGAGTGATGTGAGTGAGGTGAGTGATGTGATATTGTCCACCTCACCTTGTTGTTGTCATTCTTGTGCAGCTCCTGTACTTGCGGGAGAGCCCAACTCTTCCCACGCATCCCGGCGCGACGCAATGCGTGCACACAGCACGCACACAGCACTCCTCACACAGCACTCCTCACACAGCACTCCTCACACAGCACTCCTCACACAGCACTCCTCACTCCTCACACAGCACTCCTCACACAGCACACAGCACACAGCACTCCTCACACAGCACTCCTCATACAGCACGCACACAGCACTCCTCACACAGCACACAGCACACAGCACTCCTCACTCCTCACACAGCACTCCTCACACCGCACTCCTCACACAGCACTCCTCACACAGCACACAGCACTCCTCACACAGCACTCCTCACACAGCACACAGCACTCCTCACTCCTCACACAGCACTCCTCACACAGCACTCCTCACACAGCACTCCTCACTCAGCACTCCTCACACAGCACTCCTCACTCAGCACTCTTCACACAGCACTCCTCACACAGCACTCCTCACACAGCACTCCTCACACAGCACTCCTCACACAGCACTCCTCACACAGCACTCTTCACACAGCACTCCTCACACAGCACTCCTCACACAGCACTCCTCACACAGCACACAGCACTCCTCACTCAGCACTCTTCACACAGCACTCCTCACACAGCACTCCTCACTCAGCACTCCTCACACAGCACTCCTCACACAGCACTCCTCACACAGCACTCCTCACACAGCACTCCTCACTCAGCACTCCTCACTCAGCACTCCTCACACAGCACTCTTCACACAGCACTCCTCACACAACACTCCTCACTCAGCACTCCTCACACAGCACTCCTCACTCAGCACTCCTCACACAGCACTCCTCACTCAGCACTCCTCACACAGCACTCCTCACTCCTCACACAGCACTCCTCACACAGCACACAGCACTCCTCACACAGCACTCCTCACTCCTCACACAGCACTCCTCACACAGCACTCCTCACTCAGCACTCCTCACACAGCACTCCTCACACAGCACTCCTCACACAGCACACAGCACTCCTCACACAGCACTCCTCACTCCTCACACAGCACTCCTCATTCCTCACACAGCACGCACACAGCACTCTTCACACAGCACTCCTCACTCCTCACACAGCACTGCTCACTCAGCACTCCTCACTCCTCACACAGCACTCCTCACACAGCACTCCTCACACAGCACTCCTCATACAGCACTCCTCACACAGCACACAGCACTCCTCACACAGCACTCCTCACACAGCACTCCTCACACAAGGTCCCCCGTGTAGCCCTAACAGACTGTTGGGCTAAGCGTCGAGCAGCTATGACGGCCTGCACGGCACACGAAGGGGACGGGTGACCAGCACCACGCCCGGACACTGTTTTGTCTACCCAGTGGCGATGTTTACATATCGCACCAGAATCGATCTAAGGGAGGCCCGGGACCGGTTCAGATAACCGCCGCTGCTGTTGACCGTGAGCGGGAATCGACCTCGGGTGAGCTGGGGGGGTCGCAGCGATAAAGGCTGCAGCCAACGCTACCTCGCGACGCGACCTCGTCACTCACTCCTCGCCATGCACTCGGAAACTCGCACCCCACTGGCACTGCCACTCACTACCACTCACTGCCACTCACTACCACTCACTACCACTCACTGCCACTGCCACTCACTACCACTCACTGCCACTCACTGCCACCGCCACTCACTGCCACTGCCACTCACTACCACTCACTGCCACTCACTACCACTTACTGCCACTCACTACCACTCACCGGCACTGCCACTCAATGCCACTCACCAGCACTGCCACTCACCAGCACTGCCACTCACCGGCACTGCCACCCACTGCCACTCACGAGCACTGCCACTCACCGGCACTGCCACTCACCAGCACTGCCACTCACCAGCACTGCCACTCATTGCCACTCATTGCTACTCACTGCCACTCACTGCCACCCACTGCCACTCACCGGCACTGCCACTCACTGCCACTCACCAGCAATGCCACTCACCGGCACTGCCACTCACTGCCACTCACCAGCACTGCCACTCACTGCCACTCACTCACCCTACCCATCCATCACACGCGGCCCATCACCACCCCGCCAGCTCAGCTCGCGCGTGTGTGGCGAGCGTGGTGCTCCGCTCCGAGTGAGAGCCGTGGGTGGGCACGTCTCAGTGCTCGCCGCTCGCTGCCGGGTCAACTCAACGGTGGCGGGGCTCCAACCCCCACCTCCTCCTCACCCACCGTCCCCAATCAACGCTGACCGCGTGCGTGCGTGCGCGCAAGTAGGATGGCGCGAGGTGGATTACGCGTCTGCGTGTGTGTGAGAGTGTGTGTTAAGTGGGGGGCGGGCGGGGGGGGGCGATAAGTGTGGACGTTTTTGAAAGTGGAAGTGCGCGTAAGGGTGTGTTTGTGCTGAAGTGGGGGACCGAGGATAAGTGGGCGAGTGTGAAAAAGGGGGCATGAGCGTAAGTGGGTGTTTGCGTGTGCTTGAATTCGCGCGCGTTCGCGTGTGTGTGTGTGCGCATCTTCATGTGTGGGGGAGTGGTGCTGCCCATCCACCCCCTCGTGTGCCGTGCCGGCCTTCATAGGTGCTCGCTAACAGCATTTGCCCCAACAGTCTGTTAAGGCTCTATGGGATGGGTCTTTGTATTTGTGGTGGTGAGCGGTGGTGTAGCGGTTAGCGCGCTGCGCTACGAACCCGGCGAGCCGAGTTCGATTCCCGCTCACGGTCAACACCAGTGACGATTATATGAACCGGTCCTGGGTCTCCCCTAGGTCGACTCAGCCTTAAATGAGTACCTGGTGCGTGCGTGTAAACATCGCCACTGGGAAAACAAAGGCGGCCGAGCGTTGTGCCCCCTTCTCGCGTGCCGTGCTGACAGCACTTGTCCCAAGAGCTGTTAAAGGATATACGGGGGATGTTTGTAAGTGTTCGTATACATTGAAAATTAAGTTCACTCGAATATATGCAGGTTTTATGACAAAACAGTGAATTTTAAGATTTTTATATTTCAAACAAATTTTTTTTTAATACTTCGACCGTGAAAATTATGAAAATGGAGGATATGCCAAATAATAATGTTTAAAGTTAATTTTAATAGATTGTATTCTTATTTATAGACCAAGAGTTTCACTCTGCATGTTCTTGAGGACTACTGCGTGTGTTGGATTTTCGTTTCAAGTGATCTCTTGATTACTTAATGGAACTAATTACCGTCTTATTTAGACTTTTCCAGTTGCATTCAACTCAGAAACAAGTGGAGGCAGTTCAGCGAAGTGCTGAATAACGTGCCTGTGACTAAACACGGTGTCGCGTGCTACTCCGGGACCAGGATTGCCTGATACCTCCCCCACAGTTAACACTGGAAACCAGAAGTTTTTCAAAAAAAGTTTTTTAATTTTTTAATTTTGTTTCTCTACTGTTTAATACATAATATAAATGTTTTTGAATAGTTTAAAAATGTCCTTCTGTATATTTTTGGAATGAACTTTTACAGTTGAATGCTAATAAAACCAATGTATGGTAATTTGCTAGTTTTGTCTTTTATTACAATTTGATTAAGTCATATGTGTATTTTGACCATTGGTAATTGACTGTCACCAAATGTATATTTTACCAGAAATTATTAGAAGTATTTATTAAGTGATATAGTTTTTAATATGGTACCTTATTGGCCAGTTGGTTTGCAAAGAACCTCCGTCTTGGAGAAGTCAATGTCATGTGAGCCCACTGAATTGTAACAGTGATCTGCCACGGCAGAGGAGTTCGTCTTACTCCTCTGCCGTGGCAGATCACTGTTACAATTCAGTGGGCTCACAATTCTCCTGTTTTGATTTGTACTAAGTGCCTCGGTGAATGTGTATGCTCTGACTTCAACGTAACTATTTCTGTAGCAGTTACAAGCGAATGCCTTAATTTAGCTATTTCAATGCTAAATTCTATGCTAATTCCTTTTAACAATGGGTGCCTCTGCGGAGGTGTATGCTTTAACTTTTAACATAGCTATTTCTGTGACCAGTCACAAGCTAATCATTCAGCCTTTTCAATGCTAAATTTTATGCTAATTCCTTCGTCAAGGCTCTTTGTTCCTCTCACACAGCTTAAAAGCCGTGATCTGAACGTGGCTCTCTCACTCCAGCGCTGTCCTACCAGACAGTCTCGCTCCCTTCACCTGATGAAGGCCGCTTGTGTTGTGGCCGAAACGTCGTGAGAATATTATTGTGTTATTTTATTTTATCAATTTATTATTTTATTCTCATTCTACGTGACTTTACCGAAAGAACCAAAGAAGATGAATCATTGCAGTCACGAAAGCTTTAAATCGAAATAAAATACACTTTTCACATACTGTAATGTCATATACTGCAAATTAGTTTTGAAGGTAATTTGCTGATATTTTTCTACCGTGTAATTGTTATCGTAATATAAATTCGTATCGTAATATGAAGTACTGTGATACTGTTTTTATTACTGGAAACCCAGCTGCCAAACAAGTGATGTGGCTTGGTGTGACTAAAAAATACACGCGCCATAAAAAAATATATATTCTAATGGGAATCACTCAACATATTCGTCAATGACAATAGAATGACGTTTCGGGTGATGACCCTTCTTAACTGTAATGAGCAAGAACACAGACTTAAGCCAGGGCTGACGCTAGAGGGGTGTTGGGCTGGGCCGTGCACCGCCAAACGTTCCTTTGGCCCCAACCCAAGTTCACTCTGAAAAAATAAGAATACTTTTTACTCTTTCTGGCAATGAACCATGTGTTAATATGTTGAAATACCAAATAAAAACCTTTTTCAAGGAAGGTTTCTATCTTAACACTTGTTTATTGCTAGAAAGTGTAAAACCTATTCTTATTTTTTCATACTTTGCTACTGTAAAAAAAAAGTCCCATGTTCAAGTTCACTCTCCTTAGCAGTATATCACTGTGATGGTGCCCCCCCGTAAAACATCTTTACTGGGCCCCGCAACATCAAAGAGGAGCTAAAGCTTGGCTTGAAACACTCCCGGGAAGAAACCCATGTGCAGCAGTGATGGAGTCACGAGTGGTGAGATCAGCTCGTGCGAATGGGAAAGATGGGTCGTTTCGTTGCGAGACCATCATAGATGACGCTGTTTGTCTCTCAATGGAGCCGTTTTTCTCGTGGAA